ACATCCAGGATAGCACCACCTAATTCATTCCAGGTCCTTGCAAGTCTTAACCTTCAAACTGTGTGCCTGTTATTCCTTAATCCCAAGCTATGTAGGGAAAAAATAAATTCATAAAAAAATTTCCTTTTATACCAGGCAAGGTACATTGCCGGACCCATCTACTGGAAGAGGCATAGCTCCGGCAAATCACCCAAGTTCAGACACTGGGCCAGAAGTGCCAGAAACCAAGGAGCCAGAAGGCCCACCCTCCACAAGAATGACTCCAGTCTGGAAAACCCCCAAAAGCTACAACTAAACTGGGGAGAGAGAGAGAGAGAGAAATACACCCCTACCTTAACCTGTCCAGCTGGAAAGTATCTACAACAAGCATCTCATAAGGGAACACAGCATGTAGGAAGTTAGATGACAGTTCCACTCTGATGGAAAGAGGTCCACCTCAGAGCAAGTGAACATCTTACACAGCCATCAGTAGGACACACTGTCAACGGTTCACTCCATGCAAATGGGAAGGAACCGAGATAAACTGTCTGCAAGAACAATGGAAGTGCCCCACATATGGACGACCGAATGGAGAAATAAACCCCCAAGAATCTAGAAGATGAACAATCTGCAGCATTCAACACTACAAGGGGTAGGACCCACCTCCCATTGTTCAAGCAACGAACCGCCAGGAAGCAATCTGAGTGGAGCCAGAGCACGGAGACTGGAGGGAACTGAATCCTTCACACCACTTGTCACATAGCTGTGAACTCGCACACTATGCTGTGCACCCAAAGACCTGACCACAGACCCTGGGAGGCCTGATGAGCACTGGTCACAGCCTCAACCTAGAGCCGACGCATCCATAAAGACTTCGAGTGACAAAACTGGAAGTACCGCGGAACTAAACCCTGAAGAGAAGGCATGGCAGGAGCAAAGTTGGAGATCACCTACACCTCCAGCTCCGGGACCCTAAGCATCATCCAGGGCATCCATCCGAGCACAATGCTGTAATATCGAACCTGGATAAACCAGGCCCATAATTCTGCAGCTTCCCGATATGCTTCCACCTCAAAAGCAGGATCAGAGATGATGATAACCCATAAGGAACAAATCACACAGGATTCAGGGTAGTAAGTATCAGCAACCCAACTGTCAGCATGACGGAGGTGGAAAGAATGATTGTCACCATGTAGTAGAGAGACCCTACCAACTCGCAGCTTGCGAGAGCAGGCATGAGGGTGGTTGTTTAAACATAAACCACATCAGAGATCCACGAGCGAATACTAAGGCCTGCTGGTAAAATGCGACAGGTGCTTCTGTGCACTGGGGATGCTTGCCAAAAGAATGGGAACCAAACATAATCCAATGGACTAGAGAGCTCCAAATGGCAACTGCAGCATGCCATATAAACACAGCGAGCAAGACCCAAGAGCACCCCAAAACAACCAACTTGAAGGTCCCAACCATGGGACAAAACAGAGGAGTCAAATGACCCTTGAAATATCAGAGTTAAGGCACCTGGCTCCAGTGGCCAGGCCTTGAAAGGGCAAACTCCCAAACGCATCAGAGAAGTTACTCTGCCATTTGCAAGAGCAGCGTTAAACTTCCAGGGAAGTAATTACAGTACACATGCAATTTGAAGCACAAAAAGCGAAGTCCACATTACAACACTGGAAAGAAAACACTAGCATGAAGTCAATACTATATTGGAATGACACACAGGCAAATGGCCCCCATCACAGAACAAGTTCTAGGATGGCTGGTGCTTCGTTTAGAAGCACCGAGACCCGCTGTGAAAGATGGCGATCATTGATAACTCCTGCGATGTACTGGCGAACACTTAAGTATCAGAACTGAATGGAGAATTGGTGGAGCACTGACTTCCAGGCTGCCTGGTGGCAGCGGTTGGTATTAATGTGTTCGAGCTAGCGTTGAGCGAATTATATTGTTTTGGTTGGATAATTTAGGGACTTGTTTGGCAGTTTCAAGGCTTCGAGTCTTGTAAATTCAAAAGTTGTCTGTAAAACAATGCTGGCTTTTGTCCTGTGAAACGGAGGAATGTCATTTGCTCTCTGCACTTTGAGGGTAAAGGAGGGCCAGGTTGTGGCTCTAGTCCCTAGTAGACCAAACCTAACTCCTGAGACTGATGTGGCCTGTATACAGTATAGCAATTGCAGTGAGATAGCTACAGGGAGCCATTAAGAGGCTTCCCCCCCTCCCCCCCCCCAAAAAAAAAAGGAAACCAGAGACCCGAAGAAAGCTGAGCTATACTCTGAGCCCATCAAACATCCCAGAGCAAGGGAAAGGGGTAGGTGGGAAGGAGGGGAAGGTAGGAAGGAGGGGAAGGGGCAGGTGGGAAGGAGGGGAAGGTGGGAAGGAGGGGAAGGGGAAGGTGGGAAGGAGGGGAAGGGGAAGGTGGGAAGGAGGGGAAGGTAGGAAGGAGGGGAAGGAGGGGAAGGTAGGAAGGAGGGGAAGGGGAAGGTGGGAAGGAGGGGAAGGTAGGAAGGAGGGGAAGGGGCAGGTGGGAAGGAGGGGAAGGAGTAACAAGAGGTTGGGCAAACTATGCCAGATGGACAGTGGAAGGAGGAGGGTGAATAACACTGGTAAACTTCATCAGCTGCTCTAACTCTAAATCCCTAAAAGCCAGAAAGGGGCAACCCTCTCGAGCACCAAGTTACAAACAACAAAAATTAGCAAATGAAGCAGCTGCCAGCGATTGAGCCTCGTCATTACACAATTAAAATAAAGACAATCAGCAGACCGAGGCTTTAGCCAACAGACATACCCAGTGAACCCAAATGTTACGGCCCGTGGGGTAGAGGGTAATACCCACTCAACAAGCAGCACAGAAGAGACTGTACAAATGACATTGGCATGTAGCAAACTGATGGACATCCCTCAAACTTGCAAGAAGCGACCGAGAGCTTAATGGGCTGAGCAATGATGATGCACACCCAACATCCACAGGGCTTACCATGGCCTGAAAGTAGAGACCAAGCAGGTCACACAGACCCAGGGGATGCTCACTGAAAATGACCAACACCAAACGCAGTCCTTAAAAAAAGATTTGGCTACGAAGGGCGGCAATGTGGTGCCACATGGACAAGCATGCACCCCCTTTAATTTATCAACCCTGAAACATCCCCATCCACAGAGCCTCACATAGGAGTTAAAGACTTGCACTACTCAGGACGACGCACCCTCCTCAAGATGATGGCCTCTCAGGGACGAACACCTCAACCCACCTGAGAAGTAACCCTGCAACACCAGTAAGCTCAGATGCTGCTTGAGGAAAGCTGTAGACAAAGTCTGCACAAGTGAGGCTTGTAAACATGTGCTCATGAAGAAAATACTAAAAATTGGAACAATACACAAGCAAAAACTTATCTACAGAAATTTCAAATGATGGCTAGCACGTATGTAAAGAAACCAGGCCCTGAAAGGTTAACATCAACTGGGAAGTTATAATGACTACTGTCACACCAGGAAATTGACTCGGGTGGCTCATTGACTGATCCATCAACACACACAATGCTGCCACCTGGTGGTGGAGAGATCCACCCTAACTACTGGGTGGATCTTTTGCCAAGATGTTGACTTACCTTGCTGCTGATTGGTTTGTACATTCTGGTTGCTGCTATCTTGGTGAGGATGATCACTGATCCTCTGTGAGGGAAGGAGGAGTCGAGTTTTGGCCTCTGATCCTCGGTAAGTTCTTGTCAACTTGCAAGGAGCTAACCAGAGCAACTAGCAACAGGGAGCTAAAACACTCCCAGAAAACCAGTGCTAAATGTAATTCTGGTTGGCACCTTTAACCAAAATCCTCGAGCTCATGGATTCTGGCACATCACCAGGAAGTAGCCCGTAGCAGCTGTCTAACTCCCAGGTATCTATTTACTGCTAGGCGAACAGCGCATCAGGGTGAAAGAAACTCTGCCCATTTGTTTCCGCCTTCGCCGGGGATCAAACCCGAAACCTTAGGACTACGCATCTCGAGCACTGTCGACCGAGCCGTCAGGACACTCAGGAATAGGGGGATTATGGGAGGGATGTGTTTGGGCAGCTGGTGAATGTAGTGGTTGGCTGGCAGGGTCTCTTGGATAACCTGGGCCGCCATCTGGTGCAAGTCATGTCTTAACTTATACCAATGATTTCAGTCACATGTTTCCATAACTTTAATTTTTGCCATTACTAAAGTCTTGACTGCATTATGCTTGATTAGCACCACTTGACTTCTGATGTCTAAGAACAATCAACCTCCTTACATTGGCCTCTACCTCAAATATGGGCTTGTCTCTCAAGATGATCGTGACCATTAGTAGATACAGTAATGCATAATGCAATTTCCTCCCTTATATACTTTTTAAAATAAATATAAAGTTTAGGATCTCCAAATGTGTTACTGAGAATGACTGGTAGTGGCAGAAGTTGATGTCAACTGGTATACTGATGGCTCAGCAATACATTACACAAACTCCATAGCATGTAAATACATAATGACAAAATGTATGACAACAAAAGTGACATGAACAGGGAAGAAGTTTTAGTCTACAATTAGTGCAGGTTTACAGCCTGGCGAGCCAGACAGTGGAGGAGTGTGGAGTCTGAGCCTCGGTGGAGGGCCTATAGCCAGTCTGAAATATCGCCAAAAAATTGTAGCAGAACAATTAGTACGTCTTGTCAGGAGAAACACTGATCATGTTGAAACTGAAAAGATTACAATGTTATTGTCCTCCTAATAAGCCCCTGATGACATATGTGAATAAGTACAGCATTATCACTTTTTTGTTTACAAGAGCATTATTACTTTCATTGCAAACTTGTTCATTTGTCCCTTTGCAACCAAACTGTGAAATTGAAAAATGTACCAAGTTCCAAACATACATTTTTTGTTACACATAAGCAGCTATCGAAATGATGCTACACACTGTACATTCACCTAATTACACTTATGTGTACTCAATTCATTTAACAACAAATGCGTCTTCAGACAAATATATAGGAACAAAAATACAGAAAACATAAATTAATTTATTAAGCTATCTTACAACATTAATTATATACAAATCATACCTAGCAATACAAGAAGATTGTTAAGTATGAACATGATATGATCTATAAAAATGAAAGTATGCAGCCGTGCACAGTACTTGAACAGCACAAGATGTATTGTGAAGCTGGACTATGTACACACGATGATTGTATGTAATACACAAGACACTCCTCCATAAACCATTTGACCAAATGTTTATCGCAGCCTCCACACACGCACAACACGCGCGCACACCACACGCGCGCACACCACACGCGCGCACACCACACACACACACACACACTATTTTAAAGCCCTTGCTTTAGGAATCAAGAAATGGTCAGTTTGATAAAGGATCCATTTACAATGTAAACTATAACAACTATACATTAAGAAAACAATGTTCACATTCATTTAATTGAACAACTAAACCTGGGTAACAACAGCATAACCAGTCCAGTGTTAATACCTAAGTAACTCGCAGGTTACTGCTACTGGCATGAGGTTACCCCTCCTAGTACAGTATAAGGTTACCCTCCTGCTACAGTATAAGGTTACCCCCTCCTGCTACAGTGTAAGGTTACCCCTCCTCCTGCTACAGTATAAGGTTACCCTCCTGCTACAGTATAAGGTTACCCCTCCTGCTACAGTGTAAGGTTACCCTCCTCCTGCTACAGTATAAGGTTACCCTCCTGCTACAGTATAAGGTTACCCCTCCTGCTACAGTGTAAGGTTACCCCCCTCCTGCTACAGTATAAGGTTACCCCTCCTGCTACAGTGTAAGGTTACCCTCCTCCTGCTACAGTGTAAGGTTACCCCCCTCCTGCTACAGTATAAGGTTACCCCTCCTGCTACAGTGTAAGGTTACCCTCCTCCTGCTACAGTATAAGGTTACCCTCCTGCTACAGTATAAGGTTACCCCTCCTGCTACAGTGTAAGGTTACCCCCCTCCTGCTACAGTATAAGGTTACCCTCCCCCTGCTACAGTATAAGGTTACCCCTCCTGCTACAGTGTAAGGTTACCCTCCTCCTGCTACAGTATAAGGTTACCCTCCTGCTACAGTATAAGGTTACCCCCCTCCTGCTACAGTATAAGGTTACCCCCCTCCTGCTACAGTATAAGGTTACCCTCCCCCTGCTACAGTATAAGGTTACCCTCCTGCTACAGTATAAGGTTACCCTCCTCCTACTACAGTATAAGGTTACCCTCCTGCTACAGTATAAGGTTACCCTCCTGCTACAGTATAAGGTTACCCTCCTGCTACAGTATAAGGTTACCCTCCTGCTACAGTATAAGGTTACCCTCCTGCTACAGTATAAGGTTACCCTCCTGCTACAGTATAAGGTTACCCTCCTCCTGCTACAGTATAAGGTTACCCTCCTCCTGCTACAGTATAAGGTTACCCTCCTGCTACAGTATAAGGTTACCCTCCTGCTACAGTATAAGGTTACCCTCCTCCTGCTACAGTATAAGGTTACCCTCCTGCTACAGTATAAGGTTACCCTCCTGCTACAGTATAAGGTTACCCTCCTCCTGCTACAGTATAAGGTTACCCTCCTCCTGCTACAGTATAAGGTTACCCTCCTGCTACAGTATAAGGTTACCCTCCTGCTACAGTATAAGGTTTCTGGCCTGATAAGTGCCAAGACTTGCCCCAGACATCATCACATGAGTATTACTCAAGTTATGAGAACTGGGCACCAAAATGGCACTCAATACCGTCATCAAAAATAAGAAATGTCTACACTTGGTGTTAGTTTTCTATATTTCAAGTAATTCTCTTGTAAATATGAATTGTACTAATAAAAGTAATCATACCATATGATGCTTCATTTCCTACAGTCAAGAACTGTACACAACACAGTTAGACTTTTAAACCCGTAAGTCTGTTCACTGGCATTGTGAATAGTACGAAACGCTTCCTCACGTCCCTCAGGATCAAATCAAAGATGTTACAGTTGATTGGAAAGGAAAACACAACATTAATAAGTTCGATTAAAACACTGCCAACATTCTTGCCATAAACAAATCCACAAGGGTTGTGACAAGAGTTCAAACCTACGGCCAAGATCATCCCAGACGCTGCCTTAATCGACTTGTTTGTTCATTGATGCATCACGTTATTGTGATTTGTGTGTGTTCTTACCATCGATTCGTAATTCATTCATTGTTAGCGAACAATGTTATTAATGTTAATAAATACCCCTGGAACATCAGTGATATTAGTACCGGTGTAGTGGAGCTCGTAGACGCTACCATCACACAAATGGTCCCAAGTGTCTGGGAGCATCGCTTACTTAACATGCTATAAAAGCATTCATTGGGTATAGTTTATGGTTAAGGATTTTGGTCAAAATGCAAACGTTGGATTAACAATTTGTTTTTTTTCAAATGACCTGAAAATTATTACGAAGCTAATGCACACAACTGCAGTTTGTTATGTACTTTGAACTAAATCCATATACTTTAATTTAAAATTAAAGAAAAACATAAATCAAGTTTCAATTGCCAAGGCCAATCAAATAGGCCTAGGTCACTTTGTAACACATGTATGACCAATAATTTTCAAAGATTTGCAGATCTTAAAATATTTATAAGTTGTCCTCATAATTAAAATAAAAACTAAAACAAAATAAATCCCTTACTGAAAAGAACTTTCAGACAGTAACAGAAAACTCATACCACAGAAGGAATTCGTTTGAAATCATGAAGCCCTTTCTCTTGGTACTCTTAGAATGGTTTAATTACCAATTAGAGAGATTACAAACTGTGCCACCGAGAACTACCAAGCCGACGCCGGTTCACCAAATACGGCTAACAGCCAATGCCCAGCTTCACCAAATGCTCAGGAATCAACACCTTAAAAGTTCAGGTATGCAAAATAATGCCACTGCCAATTTTCATACATCTGACGAAAATCGTAAGCTTTTAATAAAATGTGTTATGACTTGTGTTTGGTGGCCATCCTTCATAGAGAAAATTGTACAGTTGCATGTAACTATGATGCAGTGATCACGTCCCACACAACTGGGCACGAGGACAGTTAGGCAATAAACCAACACTTGTACCGTGGTCTCCTCCTTCCTCGAGTCTTGCAATAATTGCCTCAAACCCAAAACAAATTTAGTCTACTTAAAAAAAAAATTACTTTAAAATCTTTTTAAAGTAATTTTAAAAATAAAAATATTAAAAGGCTTTTAAAATTCCAGTACAGCCTGTACTGGAATTATAGACAGTATCCCAAAGTATAAACATATATCTATATTCACATCTCCAATACTTCAATTGATCCTGCTAAGAATCAAGATTTCTTATATCTTTTATGAAAAGATATCAAAAGTGAGAATCTTTTAACACAACACGCACAGTACAAAAAGACTTAAGTCGAGATGTCCGAGTACTGCACAGTGCGCCACCCACCACTAACTTGTCTCTCCTGGCCGGATGACCAGAGATTCAGCACATGATCCTCTTTTTTTCTGCATTATCAATAATTTATCATTATATTTGGTCATGGCAACAAGTAATGTGCCACAGTTGAACATATTAAAAACTGTTGCACGAATCTTAAGAAACCAGCAACGAGCACTTAGATTCTCTAGAATATGAAATCCTTTTCAATTTCTTTAATCTTCTTGAACATGATAAAGCACTTGAAACAATATTTTCCATTAAGTTTATATTAATAGCACATTGCCATTTTGCTCATAGATCTAGGAACTTCACTAAACGTCATCTGTACCTCACAATGAACTTTTTCAATTGCACATAATGCTTTGAATCAAGTGAATTACAGAACAAAACAGATTTGCAAGGAATTCACAGCCACAATATTCTTCAGTGACACGGACCACGAGGTGTGCAAGCTTTGTAACGTTCACCATGTTGGTGGAAACTTATAACAATATAATTGGCACTTGGAGGCACATTTTTTTTTATATCCAGTGATGTTTCCTTGAGTCTTAATATATTATCACAATCCCAAGAAAGTCAAGCCTCGGCCTGACTCAGGAACCCCCCAAAAATTCACAAGTTTTTAAGTTTTAAGATATAAAATCTTGTATGAATGATCTATGCCGCTTGCTAACACTATTAAATATTTAAACTGCATTAAAAAAAATAATGTAAAAAATGCACCATTCAACTATTACCTTAAATATTCCTGTCAACTTTTATGAAAGGTGGTATTTTCTTTAGAAGCTGTAAACTAATCTTGCTATATTTTAAATTCAAGTTAAATCTCACCCAGTCTCTCTAAATCTGAAGCAAGAGTCAACTTTTACAATGTGAACTTGAGAGCCACACAACACTTATAAACACTATTCCACAGCACTGTTTTCTTCGAACAAGCAGCGCACTCATTTTACATGTTACAGGCACAACATTCAAGGTCACTGAATGCCAAGCCAAGCTTAACTCTCACAAACTTAAGGACTCGTAACTCCAGGGACTATTGACAATAACCCCCATTCAAGTGAGCAGGTTCTGAGTTTGCTCAACTTCTGGATCGTCGGGAGTAGACAAACTGCGGTTACTGCTGGTGCTCTCCTGGTCGTCCGCCTCGCCTGTAGACCACACGTTATTATCACCTTAGTACTAAGCACACTTACACTGGCTGTCAATGTATACAATCACTAGAGCTTACACAATGAAATGACAAGATCATGACGAATATATGGTGGGTGTATGATGGGATTGTATCCACACGTGTCAGCTCCCCAGGAACACACACTACCGACTGGGCCACAATGGCCATGAAGAAGCTTCAAGTCCATCATGGTCCAGTCAATAGTGTGCTCGCATGGTACAATCCCATCAAACTACCACCATAATTTCTAAACCAAAACTTTCATCAATCCAAGTTCAAGGTTCCATAGACAGTTTCCATTACTATAATTATTTTATAGCTCATAATTCCACATTAATGGTATTGAAGTTCAAGGAACACTATCCGATATATTAATACTCAATATATGTATCATGTTATCCTTGCACAATAAAATAAACTACTTTACTCATTGTTAAACTAATTTACTGTAGGTTTATTAATTCTTACTGAAAATATATATTGAAATTACACTATAATTATAACCATAATGTTCTATAGGATGAATTAAAGTTATACGGCTATAGTTAGTAAGAGAGGGCAAGCAGCAGAGCAATAAGCACGAGCGTCAGGTGAATGTAACATGTAGAGATGAGCCATCAGGCGAATGCAACATGTAGAGATGCGCCATCAGGCGATAGAAAAGCATTTTTGCCCAAGTGCTATTTAAATAATGTAAGCATAAATGATGCTAAATTTCGGAAGAAAATGTCAACTTGGCAATTCGCTATATGTATGTATATTTGTTGTCACGTGAGAGCACAGTATGATCAGAAGATGTAACATGTCAGGAATGATGGCATTTTCTGGTGCCATCATTGCCTTCCACCGCCAGATCTCACAACCGCCACCATTTTTATACGTAGTGTTTGTGAGCCTATTTATAAGGTTACAACATTGATTTCAACAATTTTGGAAAATAATGTTCTCGACTACAAGCAATTATACAAAAATGTATAATGTTAAATGTGATGTATTGCCGAGTTTACAATTGTTTTTACACTGAACTTTATCTCTACATGTTAGTTATTTATGAGCCTAAATCTTTGTGATTCAATGTAAATGTGCACAAATGATTGATCTACATCATTGTTGAAGGAATGACAAATTTATGAACTTTATTTTATAAAATGTTGAAAGTGGACAAAAAAAAATTTAAGTACTGTATTGTAGTGCCATCAAGTGTATGGAGTCTAATGCAAAAAATTATATCCATTTTCCAAAGCTATTTTACAACATTAATTTTGGCATCAAATGTTTGCAAATGTCTTGTGTTTTCAAATTAAAACAAATCAATGGATAACTAATATCTGGTGCCCATTGTGTACTGTATCTTTGTGACAACTAATACTGTAGTTGGAATTTAAATTTGAAGAAACTTTTGATCAGATGACGCACAACACTTCATCAGAACATGAAGCTCAATGTAGTTGATGACCGTGTTAGTGTCATCTGAATGTGAAAGTGGCAGAATAAGCTGATTACTTATTAAATTTCATAGTCAGAAGCAGATGAAAGCAGTAAATTAGTACCAAACCGTATTAAATTAAAAAAAAATAATCATGCAACTAGAAATTTCATAGAAAAGCATGCTAAGAACCTAATCACACACTTCACATGCATTAGAAGTTTTATCTAATACAGTAGACATTCTGCACAGCACTCAAGCACATTCTCTATTCTCTTTGTTTATGCACGTCTCATACATATTAAGCACAAAGTCTGAATACTTGCAGTGTGCAAATCATCCTGCCCCAAGTGATGAACTGGTGTTGCTGGTGGCACTCGGACACACACACACACACCACTCGGAAACACACACACCACTCGGGACACACACACATACACATATACACACACACACCACTCGGACACACACACACACACACACACACACACACCACTTGGACACACACACACACACACACACACACACCACTCGGACACACACACACACACACACATACACACACACACACCACTCGGAAACACACACACCACTCGGGACACACACACACACACACACACCACTCGGACACACACACACACACACACACGGATGGATCATCATGGATGGAAAATTTTCTGACTGATAGAAAAATGAGGGCAGTAATCAGAGGCAATGTATCAGAATGGAGAAATGTCACAAGTGGAGTACCACAGGGTTCAGTTCTTGCACCAGTGATGTTTATTGTGTACATAAATGATCTACCAGTTGGTATACAGAATTATATGAACATGTTTGCTGATGATGCTAAGATAATAGGAAGGATAAGAAATTTAGATGATTGTCATGCCCTTCAAGAAGACCTGGACAAAATAAGTATATGGAGCACCACTTGGCAAATGGAATTTAATGTTAATAAATGTCATGTTATGGAATGTGGAATAGGAGAACATAGACCCCACACAACCTATATATTATGTGAGAAATCTTTAAAGAATTCTGATAAAGAAAGAGATCTAGGAGTGGTTCTAGATAGAAAACTATCACCTGAGGACCACATTAAGAATATTGTGCAAGGAGCCTATGCAATGCTTTCTAACTTCAGAATTGCATTTAAATACATGGATGGCGATATACTAAAGAAGTTGTTCATGACTTTTGTTAGGCCAAAGCTAGAATATGCAGCTGTTGTGTGGTGCCCATATCTTAAGAAGCACATCAACAAACTGGAAAAGGTGCAAAGACATGCTACTAAGTGGCTCCCAGAACTGAAGGGCAAGAGCTACGAGGAGAGGTTAGAAGCATTAAATATGCCAAAACTAGAAGACAGAAGAAAAAGAGGTGATATGATCACTACGTACAAAATAGTAACAGGAATTGATAAAATCGACAGGGAAGACTTCCTGAGACCTGGAACTTCAAGAACAAGAGGCCATAGATTTAAACTAGCTAAACACAGATGCCGAAGAAATATAAGAAAATTCACCTTCGCAAATAGAGTGGTAGACGGTTGGAACAAGTTAAGTGAGAAGGTGGTGGAGGCCAAGACCGTCAGTAGTTTCAAAGCGTTATATGACAAAGAGTGCTGGGAAGACGGGACACCACGAGCGTAGCTCTCATCCTGTAACTACACTTAGGTAATTACACTTAGGTAATTACACACACACACACACCACTCGGACACACACACACACACACACACACCACTTGGACACACACACACACACACACACACCACTTGGACACACACACACACCACTCGGACACACACACACACATATAAACACACATACCACTCGGACAAACACACACACACACACACCACTTGGACACACAAAACCATGCACCACAGATGCAACTCACTAAATATCAATACTACACTACATAGCAAGTTTTCACAAACTCAAATACAGTAGTACCTGTAGTCACAAACCAATCGCTAGAATTACAGGAACAAATGACCAAGTTGCAAGCACATATTCCGGGGAAAGACGAGACCAACTTAACAGTGATGATAGTGTAACAGTCCAAGGTAACTTGGACTCTGGTAACTTGGACATTGATGTTCAGTTTGCAATCAAAATTAAAATGCAAAGAAATAATTAAATCACAGGACTACATTAGAAGCAAGATACGGCTGGGCAAACACAGGTCGGCCACAGAAATCTTATTCAATCCCATCAGCAAACATTATAAGATGAAGATTAGAAAGAGATGATGGAATAAAATGAAAATTTCCCTCCGAGAAGATTCAGTATTGGACAGACTCCGTCGGCAAAACTACAAACGCCTGCAAGTCGGTGAAGTGCAAAACACGATGAATGACTTGTTTAAAGGTCAGCAGCTTGTGCTAAACGTTCTTCATACTAACCCCAAGCACAACTGTACCACTTCCCTTATAGCAACCCATTATAACAAACCCTTTAAGTTGTGCATCTTGCTTTTATTCATCTTAGAAAAATATGGAATATATTTAAAACAAGTATATTTTCCAAACTACTTCCTTGACATTATCTAAACTATTTCGTCCGTCACCTTTCAAAAACTAAACTAGTCCTTCCTGCTGGTTTTTTCCTGGTTCCTTTCCAGGTGGAAAAATAACCACCAGGAAAAAAATTCCTGGTGGTTAATTCCAATTTAAAATCGTCACGTAAACGGCTGACATAGCGAGCAAGTGATTAGTTTTCTTTGTCAAAATTTGAAGGTGTAGTACCTATCAACATCCTAAACATTCATCCACAAGCCACCAACATCAGCATACAAACACCACACAAAACAACATTCAATGGTCAAAATTCAGTCAATTTATTAATACTGTACTCTGCAAACTCTAAATCTGCAAATGAGAATTTATAGATAAAAATTTTGTGATCTGGTATTGTACCGTTTCCAAGAAAAACTTAACAACATTTTTTTACGTGCATTTCAAATCAGTAGAGAAGATATCAAGTTCGGCTTGATGACATACTGCAGATGTGGGCATTCAGCTTGTCTTCGAGAGTTGTTGTCTCACAAAAATGACGCACTAAATTGCCTGATAATAGCCTGAAGACCCACAAATAGAAAACACGAGAGCCCATCAAGTTTACGAGCCGCTATGATTTATAGTACATCATATTTTGCCTGTTGGTGACTGATACGTCAAAATGCGATGTACAGTACTATTCAAGAGGACAGACACACAGAGGTATTAAGGTTCCATCAGCAGCTTGTTAACTAAATGCAAATTCACATAGTTGAAATTAAAGATAAGTAAACAATGAAGGAGAAATACGACATCTCATTTTGATTATAAAAACTTTTCAGAAAGGTGGCTTAATGATTTAAATGGATTCCCATGGAATACCTATAAATTAGTGACAGCGTTCAAATTAATCACTTTTTGAAGGCAAAGACGATAATATACAAAAATCACAACCGATTGGAAAATTTCAATCAACAGCAATTAATCACTTTTTCAAAAGTAAAGACTATAATATCCAAAAATCACAACTAATCATCATTTCAATCAAGATCAACAGAATGTGGAGTTTGCAGGAGAGGCAACAACACAGTAATGTTAGTCCAATTATCACCCGCACACACACACAAGACTCTGGGTAATTAATAGTTTAACACTTAAACCGACCTTTGCGAAGTGCAACAGATTCTTCTAAGTGAGCATAACACTTGAATTCTGTAGGTAGAAAAATATATCAAGTTTAAATGTAGTATAAATTCTGTATTCAGATTAAAAAAAAAGTGTTGATTGTAACGAAGAGTGTTTATGAGGGATGCGGCCTTAGCAGCTCCCTGTAGCTAGTCGCACAGTTAGCTTCACACAAATGAGTCGCATCGGTCCTAAGAGTCCTTACTAGCCTACCAAAGACCAGAGGTTAAAATCTGGCCCCCACCGTTAGAGGGCCAGAGAGCAGGGAATTGATGATCACCCGCACCAAAGAAACAAACCCCTAGAAAAGAAGCAAGGCAAAACAGACGACTGCATGATTCACAGAGAGCAAACAGCACACAAAATGACTTGCCAAATGATCCACCCAGTAGTTAGGTCATACACTCATAGTAACAGTGGCAACACAGGTGGCAGCACTACTGGAGCTGCCAACTCTCCATGTCAACAATCCTTAGTCCACAGTCTAAGAAAACTAACTGATGCCCCCCTGGCAATCGATTCCAATAGTCAACATCGCAGCTCCACCGAGGACAAACAATAAAACCCGATAGTATTCAACACGAGATATGAATCAACAAAGCACCAAGACAAAACGGACAGGACCACAAACAGAAAACAAATAGAGACAAAAATGCATAAAGTGCCAGGAAACGTCGTGCTACCGCCAGAATGACTGATGCAGAGGGGAACCAAGAGTTCGGCCACCTACAACACCATACAGATGGTGATGGACCAAAGTCAAACTTCACACATGAATAAATAAATAAAATAAATGTTTATTTAGGTAAGGTACATACATACAAGAAATTTTTACAAAGATTGGTGGACTTATAGATACAGCTAGTACATACAATGCCTAAAGCCACTATTACGCAAAGCGTTTCGGGCATGAAGAACAAAGACCCTAGAATCAGCAAGGAAGGTCTCGGAAACAATCTACTGAAAGAAGCCGAACTGTAGAAAATTGCCCAAATTTGGACAACCAGAAGGACAAAATTTTTTTTACGTGCATTTCAAATCAGTAGAGAAAATATAAAGTTCGGCTTGACGACAAGCCGAACTTGTCATCAAGCCAAGGCTAAATAGGCCACCAAAGAGCCTGAAGGATCACCCTGCCAGTGAAAGTTTCTAGTGTAGACAAAATCTGGGGCAACAGCTGAACTGGGGGGAAGTGTGAAAGGCACCCCCCACCTCGACCAGACCAGTCAAAGGGCATCCACTGCAAGTCTCTCGTGATCCGAGAATAGTCACGTAAGGCAGAAGCTGCTGGATTCACAGTGATGTGAAGAGGTACCACCTCTGGGAGCTTGAACATTACACAGATGTTTTAAGTATGTTGTCAAAAGTTCACTGTGCAAATGAGATGGAAGTTAGAGAGACCCCCTTCTGCAAGAATGTTGAACACACATCCCAAACATGAACCATGCAGAAAACCAAACTCCAAGAATCTAAAAGATGAGCTACGTGCAGAGGGTGGTGGTGGTCTGGTTACAGAGGAGGAAGGTGCCATGGAACCGAACCTACAAAAACCAGACGAGGAAACTAGCAATGGGCAAACTGAACTCGCATCCGAAAATCCAAGCGGTGGCAAAAAGGAGGGAGCTGGAAGAACCAGGACAATCCCTGGAGTCAATCTTGGCTTGGAAGCCCAAACCAGCCAGTTATTGATGTAATCCAAATGTTGGACATCTAAAAGCCAATTTGGACATCTAAAAGATGCTGTCTGGTTAGAACAGAGGAGCCAGAACCAAGTAAAAAGGAGTACCCCGAAAGCAGGAAGCCTGATTCCCCACAACAAACCTGTACCTCAGATTAAAGGAGATGTGCCAAAATGGTTATCTTGAGACGATTTCAAGCCTTAGCGTCCCCGCGGCTTTGTCCTCGACCATACATGAAAGCATCACAAATTTTTCTGGTTGGTGTCCCCTGGATGGACACCAATCAAGAAAATTGCTAGGTACACCAGGCAGACAAGATCTAGGCCATTCATGTACTGGATAGGGTGGACTGGAAGAAAAAGAACCAAACTTGATATGGAACAATATACCATAGGGTCATAAAGTTCAATGAAGAGACCAGGAATAACCCGACACCCAGTGACAAGATGGGGAACCCAACCAACCCAGAATTCAACCAAGATGCAATGGCCATAAAGCGCCATAGAGAAAAACCGACTCTAGAGCACCAAAACCGGAGGGAAGGTGAAGGACCATCACCACTGCAGGCCTAAGGAAACCACCCAGAAAACCTCATTCAATGTGGGACCAGGACTATTTGGACCTCCTGGTTGCTGGACTGATCAACCAGGCCGCATCTAACAGCCTGGTTGCTGGACTGATCAACCAGGCCGCATCTAACAGCCTGGTTGATCAGTCCAGCAACCAGGAGGCCTGGTCGACGACCGGGCCGCGGGGACACTAAGCCCCGGAAGCACCTCAAGGTAGCCTCAAGGTAGGTAGGTAGGTAGGTAGGAGCAGGCTTCAAGAAACTACTCCCAATGCAAGTCTTACTCAACCAACAACTCGGGAGCAGGACCAGAACAAATAGGCAAGACTCCCGCTCATGCCACTCAAGCGTACGGATACGGTAAAATCTAAGCCAAGACCCTAAGAAGAAGAATGGGTGGTCTGCAAGCCAGGATAAAGCAAGGATCTTGTAACATGATAAGGATGATCCCCCACTGGAGCTTAAGAAGCCCCAGCAGAAGAAATCAGAGATCAGGACAGACTGAAACACACCTAGGCACAAAGCTCGGGCTCCTCCCCAGACCCAGAAGCCTAAAGACCCCTAGGGCAGAGCCACACCTGATGCCTGATCAGATATGAAGGCATCTCCACACACTACAAGGATCCAAAGCCAATTACACTCACACGGGAAACAGGAGGATATGGATCCCAAGCAGGGGGCAACGGCTTAACTGTCTCCACTGCTGTCCTGGAAAGGGCAATCCCAGAGAAGGCCGTGCTACACCCACAGTTAATTGTAGCCTGGATATCTAAACCCTCTGATGTCGTGGAGCCCAGAGCATGAGGTGGTAGTGTTCAAGAGGGCCATTGAACCATGTCAGATGGACAGGGGCAGGAGAAGGTAGGAAGGAAAGGTTGAACATACAATCAGTAGAATTCATCAGCCACTCCAACTCCAATTCCCTTAAAACAAAAATGGGCCAATTCCAATACAACCACTCGAGCACCTAGCCGCAAACAACAACAACGGGCAAACCAACCTGAAGTGACCTGCTGCCTGTTAAGCATCATTATTGCAAAGAAAATCAATAGATGGAGGATCTAGCTAAAATAGAAACCCCTGCAAACCTAAACGTCAAAAATGTCACAGGCCTCTGCCTCAACAGGCAGCATTGCAGACAGTACAAATGAACATCGGCATGTAACAAAACTGATGGACATCCCTCAAACTTATAAGAAGCGAGTGCTGCTCAGTGGGCTGATCAATGATGATCCACACCATCTGTGGGATTTACCAAGGCCTGAAACGAAAGACCAAACAGGACATCCAAGAACTACGGATACTTGCCAAAAGAAACCAACACCGAACACAGCCCTCAAGAAAAACTTGGATATGCAGGGTGTCAGCAGTGTTCCACATGTACAATCATGTGAACCTTGTGCACCCCTTAACCAATGAACCACAGGATGCCTCCAACCTTAAGAGCCTCACAAACGAGTCAAAGATGCTTGCATTACTTGAGGAAGACACCCTCCACAAGAGGCCGGCCTCTGTGAGGCGAACACCTAAACCCCTAGGTAAGTAACCCGTCAGGACATTGGCAACATCAGCGAGCACCTAAGGAAGGACAGCCCTAAGCATATGCAGGTCAACGTGAACAGGTTACCAAAGGCGCACAAGTGAGGCTTGAGAACACTTGCACGTGAAGCAAATACTAAAGAATGAAACGATACACAAACATAAGGCCCCTGCAGGACACCGTACACAGGATGACCAAAACTTCTCGAGAAAATCAGGGATCAGAAGAGCTGTCAATTAATGGAGTGGTCAAATAAGTCTGACACCAAGTGAAGGACTGAGGACTGTTGATGGGGGAAGTTGGCAACTCCTGTGGTGCTGCCACCTGGTGTATAACCAAGTGGCATGGATCTGGGTGGATCATTTGCCTTCTCATTTGCTACACTGTGTTTACTTTCTATGAACAATGTAGTTGGCCATTTTCCTTTGCCTTCTTCCTAGGGATCTGTTTCTTCAGTGAGTGTGATGATGACTCCCCTGCTCCCTGCGCCTCTGTCGGGGGGCCAGACATTTAAGGACTCAAAAGAGCCGATGTAACACAGATGTCAAGCTATCTCAGTGCAGCTAGTGAGAGACTCGCTATATAGTGAGAGCCACCATCTGGTCCCTCCAGAAAAGGCAATGTTAAAGCCAGTTCAAACATAAAATGTTATGTAATGGAGAGCTGACGGTGTAATTTAGTAACCTAACTTGGGCTTGCAAAATGGCAGAGATCAGCCCTTGGTCTGCTAAATTTGCTTACAAGCATTTATTGGTAACTAGACATTTTACTAACCACGTTTATGAAAGTTAATTCTGCATATAAATTCCTGTAGCCAATGAGAACAGATGTCTACTGCTGTACTAAACCTAAAAGAAGCACATTTGGAAGACACACACTAAATTGATTATGTCACTGCAATATACATGTCAGCAGTCTAAGGGTTAAAGGACATTCTGCATAAAAGTTTTAGCGGTGGACTAGTTACTGAACAACCTTTGGGTGCAAGCTTACCAAAGCCATATAATACCAAACCCTAACAAACCATTCTTAAAATATTTGCATCCACAACGCATTGTTACCCTTCAAATTCTCAAGTTCTCTTTATTCTTCTTATATCCATATTTTCAATATACACTACAATTATTTATATTATATCTACTGCAGTAACTGTTGCTTAATAAACACTTGAGAAGCATCTACTAGTATGTATGTGGATTTCAAACTGGCCTTCGATACCCATGCATTTCTCAACAATTATATCTAGAAGTTATGGAATTATCTTTATCCTTACATATTAAGTATTATACTTACAATCTAGCTGGGTAAAATATTTAGACTACTGTATACATTGTAGACTGACGGCCCACACTGCCTGAGCAAGTCTGTGGGGTATTGAGACTGATGGCCCACACTGCCTGAGCAAGTCTGTGGGGTATTGAGACTGATGGCTCACACTGCCTGAGCAAGTCTGTGGGGTATTGTAGACTGACGGCCCACACTGCCTGAGCAAGTCTGTGGGGTATTGAGACTGATGGCCCACACTGCCTGAGCAAGTCTGTGGGGTATTGAGACTGATGGCCCACACTGCCTGAGCAAGTCTGTGGGAGGCTGATGGCCCACACTGCCTGAGCAAGTCTGTGGGGTATTGAGACTGATGGCTCACACTGCCTGAGCAAGTCTGTGGGGTGGCAGAGTTGTCGGCAGCCTTCCTCACTTAAAGAGGGTCAGTGTTCTCAAGGTTCACCATCTGGCCCAAGTTTATAGCCATCACTATATGGATATATCGTGGTCTATATGTATATAAGGAGGCCTGGTCGAGGCCTAGTCGAGGACTGGACCATGGGGACGTTAAGCCCCGAAATCATTGAGGTAATCTCAAGGTATCACGCCTCTCTCACTCACCGCCATGTCCACTTTTGTTCTAACATTATCTATGATATCTTCCTTAACACTTTCGCTCGGGGATGACGCAGCATTGCGTCATCCGTTTACTGGCGGTAATGCCGGGGATGACGCAGCATTGCGTCATCCACTTTAAAAATTCGCCAAAAATCAGGTTTTTATCCGATTTTTTTGGGACTGGTTTTAAAATGTGCGCCGATGTCTTCCCATTTTCTTTGTTGAGCCTCGTGGCCCTCAGGCGGCTTGGCACATGCCGTGGGCCCATTGTCTTTGCTCCACTGTTGTGACCAATGTCGCCTCCCCTCGCATCTCAAACGTGTGAACATTTCGGCTATTTCCCGTGGCTATATTTCTTACTGCGGCTTTAGAAACTATCTACGCTTACTCCACGATGGATAGTAATCATGAACAAGGCCCTTCCAGGAAGAAAATTGCGAAAGAAAGGCTTGAAAAGGGTGGGAATTGGGAGTGTAGCAGGAAGGCCTCTGAGCACTCACTCACGGCTAACGCGTGGCCCGTCTTCAACTCGTCGGCGGTTGGAGCGTGACCAGGTTTTTTTTTTTATATGCTAATGTTCCTCTAGAGAATTTTATTACGAACCCATTGAGACCAAATTGAAAGACCTAGGACAAAAATTGAGGTGACCAGAGTGAAAATAGTGAAAACATTTTATCACGTTTGCGCGCTCCCGGGTAACTCGTTCGCACTTTCTCTGTTTGCTGCGGGTAATTAGCTGGGCTTTTGGAGTTTATATGCATTTAGTGTTGTAGAGAATTTTATTGCGAACACAATGATACCAAATTTAATCTCGTAGAAGGAGAATTGAGGTGACAAAGTTGAAGAGAGTATACACTTTTCGAAATTAACGCGCGCTTCCGTGACACGCTGGGGCCCATATCGCCCTGTCGAGGGGTGGCGCGCGGGGTGAGCGAAAGTGTTAACATTAATAAAAATACAGTACGTATAAAATCAATACCCAATAAATTAAATACTTAGACCAGATTTAGAAATGCCCCAAAGAAAATGGCTTTCAGTTTGAGAAATACGTTTATTTCACAAACGAACTAATAGGCCTTAAACTATTAGAACCTGGGGCAAGAGTTTAAAAACATTATAGTTGCCATGGAACTCTCTCTCTCTCCCCACACACACACACACAGTTCATAAGTGGATTATCTAGGCTATTGGTGCTTGCAGTCCACAAGCCGATAGCCATCATAGCCTGGTATATCAGCATTGCACCATTTAATTTCTTCTTAATACCAGCAACATACCAATGTCTACCCTTGAGGTTACCTTGAGGTTACCTTGACGTGCTTCCGGGGCTTAGCATCCCCGCGGCTTGGTCGTCGACCAGGCCTCCTGGTTGCCGGACTGATCAACCAGGCTGTTGAACGCGGCTGCTCGCAGCCTGACGTATGAGTCACAGCCTGGTTGATCAGGTATCCTTTGGAGGTGCTTATCCAGTTCTCTCTTGAACACTGTGAGGAGTCGGCCAGTTATGCCCCTTATGTGTAGTATTTTGCACTGCATGGCTATTTTGCACCGGTGGCTGAGCGGACAGAACACTGGACGCATGATCATGTGTCCCGGGATCGATCCCGGGCGCCGGCGAGAAACAATGGGCAGAGTTTCTTTCACCCTGATGCCTGTTACGTAGCAGTAAATAGGTACTTGTGGAGGAAGCTGTCATGGGCTGCTTCCTGGGGGTGGAGGCCTGGTCGAGGACTGGGCCGCGGGGACACTAAACCCCGAAATCATCTCAAGATAGCATACTGTAGTATAACCTTAGACCTTAGTTGTTACTCTCGTGTGCACATTAACAACCCAACATTCAAACATTATGAGATCTCTCTCGTGTTGTCAAAAGTATGGCAAGAATGCTGTGAAGAGATACCTGTAATGTCAATTATTACCAGACTGTGCAAAGAGAAACATGTCTGTACATTTTACAACCTTGAAAGATGAGGAGACCGGTGTTGAACGAGAGCACAACAATAACTGACTGATAACTCTTGATAACTGATATGCTATGATATGATAACCCATGATAACTCTAGTGACACTCTCTGACCATTTTATAGGTTCTTATCTGCACTTTCCTTGTTGCATTTGTATCTTGTCAGTCCAACCATTAACCGACTTTACTTATTTCAAGTGATGACCACCAAGTGTTAATACTGCCAAGAATGGGGGCCCCCCCATTAATGGGGTTGAGAAAACATTCATCAGTTAACTAATATCGTGGAGACAGGCAAGTCATAAGCATTACAGAAACATGTACTTCAATTTTTTATCATATAATTGTACTGTCACTCTTTGTACCATGGAAACTGATAGCAAGTATAGTAAGAAGCACCCAAAATATTTCCAATTTATACATTTTCAAAAATGTTGTGCTAAATTATCGATGAAATGTTAACTGAACAGTTAACAAAAATGTTATCACTTTCGAGAGGAATTCATCGGTTAGTTACTTTTTGGGTGAAAGGTAAATTAAAAATATGGACAAAAGCTTTCAGTTACACAGAACAAAAGAATATTCCAAACTTATTTCTTAATGCACACTATTACAGTATTTAATTACCACCTTTCCCAGTAGATGCTTCATACTTTTAGTAAAGGATTAGTAACAACAACTTATTCATGCAAGTGAAAAAAATTAAACATAATAAAACATGCAGAAATTATCAGAAGCAAATTACAAACGTGCACTAAAAATCTCACCAAAGCACGAGCGTGCACGACAATTACTTCATGCATAGCAAGAGTTGGTGTATACACTAGCTTACCATATAGGTGCAGTACACGCCCAGCCCACTAATATGAAAAGGAAGTGACGACATTTTGGCAAGTCCTGAACCATTATTAACGTGTGATCACGATGGACCGAAACAATTACTGTACAGTATGTACTTCTTTTCTCGTCACATTTGTGGGTTGGACGTGTAATTTTTAGCCACGTTATTGTGGCTCTCTCTATATGTATAGTCTAAGTTTAATCTTGTCAGCCTCCTTACCTGCAATAGCACGATCACATCTCTCCTTGTCAGCAGCTATGTAACAAGAATTCCAGAAGAAGAATACGGCACCCAGGATATTGATGATTGCACACAGGAACATCGCATATTGCTTGGACTGAAACACAGATCAAATTTGATTGTTGCAAAATAAGTCTAACGACAGCTTTAACAAACATGTCAGATAAACGTCTCGTCCAGTAATGTGTGATAATCAATGACTGCTAATAAAATAAGTAGTGTAATTTATTCTACACCACTTGAAATTGAAAATTGAAATAAGTTTATTGAGGTAAAATACACACAAAGGGATGAGGTAGCTCAAGCTATTCTCACCCCCGTTCAGTACATCGTGTTAATACATACATAGACACACATCACAAACAATAAACATATTACCAAACATTCTGAGATATAAACATCTACATTTCCTTCTACAGCTCTTGTACCATTCTTGAGGTTATCTTGAGTTGATTTTGGGGCTTTAGTGTCCCCGCGGCCCGGTCCTTGACCAGGCCTCCACCCCCAGGAAGCAGCCCGTGACAGCTGACTAACACCCAGGTACCTATTTACTGCTAGGTAACACGATTGATACAGTCCAAGTGTTATGTGCCTGGTATACTATTGTACCATTGATACAGTCCAAGTGTTATGTGCCTGGTATACTATTGTACCATTGATACAGTCCAAGTGTTATGTGCCTGGTATACTATTGTACCATTGATACAGTCCAAGTGTTATGTGCCTGGTATACTATTGTACCATTGATACAGTCCAAGTGTTATGTGCCTGGTATACTATTGTACCACTGATACAGTCCAAGTGTTATGTGCCTGGTATACTATTGTACCATTGATACAGTCCAAGTGTTATGTGCCTGGTATACTATTGTACCATTGATACAGTCCAAGTGTTATGTGCCTGGTATACTATTGTACCATTGATACAGTCCAAGTGTTATGTGCCTGGTATACTATTGTACCATTGATACAGTCCAAGTGTTATGTGCCTGGTATACTATTGTACCACTGATACAGTCCAAGTGTTATGTGCCTGGTATACTATTGTACCATTGATACAGTCCAAGTGTTATGTGCCTGGTATACTATTGTACCAATTAGTATGGTACGAACTACTGTACTATGCTTCTTCACTTCCTATAAGCAAAGAAGAGATAACTTTCAAATAAATTAGGAACTGGAGGTAACAACTGGGCCTTTGGACCCAAAATTCACCTTACCTTAAATTCAACATATAAGCTATCCATGTCATCAATTGGTGTATTTGTTGTACTTGTAGCATTGAAGAAAGTCGGTTCTGTTGTTGTTGTGAATGGAGCAACAGTAGTGGTCATATTTCGATCATGAATGTATGGCTTGAATGCATCGGCCACCTGCAAGAAAACAGTTTATGTGAAATATCTCCAAAACAACCAACATAGCTTATGATGATGGGGGCAAAAAGCCTGCACTTAAGCTTATCAAGATCCTAAGCCAACTACTGTACCGACCTTTCCACAAAATACAACCCCTCAACCCAGGGTCCAGACTCATGAAATTCAATATTTATGAAGAAATGCAAGGTGCCAGTTGCACAGGCACTCAGTATAGTGTGGAGGACACGGGGAAGACACCAGATGTGCTTAAAGTAGCAGACATAGCCCCTCTACACAATGGAGGGAGCAAAGCATTGGCAAAGAATTATAGACCAGTTGCACTAACATTCCACATAATAAAAGTTTTAGAGAGAGTGATCAGGAGTCAGGTCACTAGTTTCATGGAGACCAATGACCTCCACAACCCAGGCCAACATGAATTTAGAGCGGGAAGATCGTGCCTCTCTCAGCTACTTTACCACTACGACAAAATCAGAGACATTAGAAGAAAAGCAAAATACAGGTGTGGTATACACAGACTTCACAAAGACATTCAATAAATGTGACCATGGAGTGATAGCACACAAAATGAGGTCAAAGGGAATAACTGGTAAAGTAGGATGCTGGCTATTCCATTTTCTGTTGAACAGAACACAGAGAAACAGTTAATCAAATAAAATTGAGTCCAAGCACAGTTAAAAGCTCTGTACCTCAAGGTACAGTCCTTGCACCACTGCTGTTCCTTATTCTCATATCAGATATAGACAAAAATACAAGTCACAGCTTTGTATCATCTTTTGCAGATGACTCAAAAATCAGGATGAAAATTACCTCTGCTGAAGACATTGAAAAACTACAAGCAGATCTTAATAAAGTTTTCAATTGGTCAGCAGAAAATAATCATCCACTCCGTAGACAGAGGAATGAACCGAGACCCCCTGGATGTGAACCGCACGGAGAGCTAAACCCAGAGAACTCGGCAGATGAGCCACTCGAAGCGACCAGCCCCAAAGAGCCATGAACCAATGCCCCCCCCACTCTCCCTCCCCAGTTCAGACAATGAACCACCGGGGCGCAGTCCAAATGGCGCCAGATCACAGAGCCCCGAGTGACTCGAATCCGCTGTAGCGAGAACCACACTGCTGCGAACTCCTGCACTGTGCTGTGAGCCCGACAGAAAGACGGACCCTAACGACCCTAACCATCCAACACATTGCACGAGGGAACAGGTAGGCACCATGGCACCGAACCCAGAAAAACCCAAAGAGGTCAGACACAGCATCCGACGCAAGGCCCCTGGGGGATGAACCCAGCGATCACATGAGTGGTGGAAAGGACTGCTCCAATGGAACCATAACAGCCTCCGAAGCCAAACTCAACCCAGTGGGAAGACCAGCAAGGCGAAGTTCAAACTCTCGCACAGCTACTCTAGCAACCACCGAGTGACCCGGGACCCCCCCCCTTCCCCCCAGAACAGTTGAAGGCAGGACCGCAGCCGGAGCAACGCTGCAGGAGGAAGGGACACAGAAGCCGTCCAAGAATTCCAGACCAGGCCCAGCCAATTCTAAACCTGGGAAGGAACCAAATGGGACTTCCTCCAGTTCAACAAGAACCAAATCCCTGATGATCAGACATGCAGATTGGATGGGAGCCCATACCAGCAGTCAAGGTAGGCCAAAACCCAAATTCCTAGTAGATGCAGACAGGCCACCACGTCCCAGGTAAGATGCGTAAAAATGCAAGGTGCCAGATTCAGCCCAAATGGAAGGCAGTGAAAGCCGTATGCCTGACACCCCACCACAAAACCTATCTAGTTCCTGAACCCCGGATGAATAGGAACATGCTAAAACGCATCCTTGAGATCCAAGGACACCATCCAAGCCTCTGGATCGAGAAGAAGCCGGACCTGGAACAAACATCTCCGGCCTGGACAACACCTGAGACAAGAGCTAGGCAGGAGAAAAGAAATACAACTGTTACAGTCCAGCCGAAATGCATCCACTAAAGAACGGAGCCACACATGCCAGTTCCACGCTGACACGAAGCAGTTCACCTCAAAGCACCTGAACATCTCGCAGAGCTAATGGAAGGGCATGTCATTGATGGTCCACTCTCTGGAAATGGGACATAAACCACATGGAGAACTAAACTATAAGAATCCAAAAGAAATACTTGTAGAGTCTGCCATCACAGTGGAAAATACAGAAGAGACCCATTGTGGTTCAGGCACTGAACCACGTGAGAGCAGTCGGAGTGGAGCCAGATCACAGAGCCCGGAGGGAGATGCTGCAGAGCTTGCCACACAGCCACAAACTCCTCCACTGTGCTGTGTGTCTTACAAAGACAACTTGTCCAATGACCTTGGAAGGCCTGATGTGTGCTGGTCACAAACCCAGGGCCAAGGGATATGTAAATGGGTCGAGCGAAGGGGGAGAAGGTGCCGCCACCAGACCCAACCCTAAAAGGCCAAAGATGAAACCTGTGAACCAGAAACCACTTGAGCCATCTCCAAGTAAGCCAGGGCCTCTCCAACACTAGATGGAGACACACCTACAAACAGAAGAGAGCCACTGGCAGCAAGAAAGGGGAAACTATCCTGGAGTCTCAGACCAGGTCTGAACCTGCGATGGAATCAAGAGGGACTTGCACCAGTTCACCAGAAACCCGACCCAGGCAGGCAGGGAGGAACCAGATCCCTGTCTTAAAGATATCCAGACCAGCTGGGATCCCAAACCAGCCAGTCGTCGAGGTCAGCTGTAACCACACGAGTCAACCTCAATTTAAATTATCAATCATGCATATTAATTAAAAAGGAAATATAGAAAATATACAAATATGTACAGTATGAGGAAATAAAGCAGAAATGGGACAATGGACTTCTCTTGCAAATGATGCAAGATGTTGCTGGCATCTATAGTGACAAAGGTCTATATAGCACTAATTATAGGCAACACACCATATCAACTTTAGCCTAAAATGGCTGTACAAATATTTGTAGTCAACTGGTCTACTCTTACTGTGTAATGTCAAGTGGTTTACCACGTTATTGGTCTACTATTTGTCCTCACTACACAGTTAAACGTGAATAAACAGTTATGTTCATAAGTTAAAGCTGACTCAAAGGTAACATTTATCACATGGACACATACAAAAGTAAAGACTTTTTCTGTAAATAAATGCCGTAGTTTTGAAACTACAGCATTTATTTACTCCCAGCATCACCAAGTGTAACACGAGACTGACAACTTACCACACCAATAAGGTACGGACTCCCAGCATCACCAAGAGCATGGGAAAACAGGATTTGGAAGGCTTCTGCTGACGACCGTCTTGTAGGAATGACAATATACTGAAAAAGATCACCAACATCAGTAAATTCAGTACAATATATATTTTGTAGAAAAAATGGACAAATTTCAAAATAATAAAATATAAGGCTACAAGACATACAACTTTCATTATATGGGGCAGGGAGCCTGTATTCATGTTCATCGGTGTCTTCTAACTAGGCCTGGGCCAACTAATGACCTTCCCCAGGAAGGGACCCCACAAGTTGCCTAACTCCCAGGTATCTATTTACTGCTAGATGAACAGATGCATCAGGTGAAACATGCCTAGCAGTTTCAGTCCTCCTACAGGGATCGACCCTGGGACTCTCTACGGAGAGCCGAGGACATACACCACTTTCCTTCATTCATTGGAGCCAAGACAGATTTGACTCTTTTGATAAAGTATATTTCCTATTGAAAAGCCAGTTGAAGGATCTTTGAGATGAAATAATGATACACGTGTATCACAGAGGAAACGATTCCTAATGTAACTTGTAGAAATTAACAAATTATATCAATTATACAATGAATAACATTTAACCATTTATTCCTTAAATGGTTGTATATTATAACCGTAAACTTCTATATATACATGGTTATAAGCTTCACCCTGTATAAACCTACCCTGGCTTTGTGCCCTGGAGAGGCCACTCCAGACCGACAACACGGAAGCAGTATGCTCAGGAGACTATGGAGTGCAACTCCATAGTCTCCTGAGACTGATGGATGCCTACTACTACTACTATTTAATCCTTGATCACTTAACTTACTCAACAGAGCAATGTTCCGAGACGGAACTTCGGTATGGAACAACTTTCAGCTACAGATTAACTTCATCCACCCATCAATCAATCAAATCAAAAGTTTAATTCATAAATGTTTATACAGTATATTAATAACTGGATAATGAATATTATTTTCACCAATTGTCATATTGTCGGCGGCAGTGTAATGCCACCGTATTGTCGGCGGCAGTGTAATGCCACCATATTGTCGGCGGCAGTGTAATGCCGCCGTATTGTCGGCGGCAGTGTAATGCCGCCGTATTGTCGGCGGCAGTGTAATGCCGCCGTATTGTCGGCGGCAGTGTAATGCCGCCGTATTGTCGGCGGCAGTGTAATGCCGCCGTATTGTCGGCGGCAGTGTAATGCCGCCGTATTGTCGGCGGCAGTGTAATGCCGCCGTATTGTCGGCGGCAGTGTAATGCCGCCGTATTGTCGGCGGCAGTGTAATGCCGCCGTATTGTCGGCGGCAGTGTAATGCCGCCGTATTGTCGGCGGCAGTGTAATGCCGCCGTATTGTCGGCGGCAGTGTAATGCCGCCGTATTGTCGGCGGCAGTGTAATGCCGCCGTATTGTCGGCGGCAGTGTAATGCCACCGTATTGTCGGTGGCAGTGTAATGCCGCCATATTGTCGGCGGCAGTGTAATACCACCGTATTGTCTGAGGCACTGCCACTGACAATGCAGAAATTACACAAGTCATAACAGATTAGCACACCAGACATCATTATACAGTACTGTATACTGTACAGTTTGGATTTAGATTAGAAGTTTTATTTGAACCTTCACACAAGTCCCAATATTTCAGTCACTACTACTCTAGTCGTATCCTCCTACTTGACATGCAAATTTTCATCCCACGTTGATTTAGTACTTAAAACACTTTCATTGCTGCTAACTCAGCATTTATCCAGCACCAAGGCATTACCTTTTAAAATGTAGTGATTTTTTTTATTATTTATATATACAAGAGTTGTTAAATTCTTGTACAGACACTAGCAAGCATAGCATTTCGAACATTTCTTTAATCCTAATTTTTCTCTGGAATATGACCTGCCAAATTGTTTAACAACCAGGTACCCATTCACTGCTGGGTGGACAGAGGCTACAGTTAAGGATTGGCACCAGTCAATCCAGGATACGAACCCAGGCCAAAGTGTTCGCGAAGCGCCGGTCAAGTGTATTACCACTGTGCCATGGGGACTGCATTAGCAAATAATGAACATGACTTCTCAAACCAATATTTTTACCTTCTGGCAGTTTCTTAATACAGTACATTATTAACATTTGTTGATACATTGTACATATATAAAACCCCAGTCATTATAACAATTTGGCCCCATTTGCAAATGAGAATTTTAGAATCCTTATTCATTAGAAATCATCTTATCTTGAGATTATCTTGAGGTTATCTTGGGCCTTTAGTGTCCCCGCGGCCCGGTCCTCGACCAGGCCTCCACCCCCAGGAAGCAGCCCGTGACAGCTGATTAATACCCAGGTACCTATTTTACTGCTAGGTAACAGGAGCATAGGGTGAAAGAAACTCTGCCCATTGTTTTCTCGCCGGCGCCCGGGATCGAACCCGGGACAACAGGATCACAAGTCCAGCATGCTGTCCGCTCGGCCGACCGGCTCCCGTCATCATGGTCATCATTACCCACTTTTATCGGGCAGGAAAGCATCGGCCAGGAACTTGTTCTCTTATAATATATCTTGGTATACTCTTTTATAAGGGTTCCAGTAGTACAGTTTGCTGCATTCTTGACTCTCAATTGAGAATTCCGGCTGCCAATCCTAGGCAAAACAGAAATGGTTGGGCAAATTTCCTATCAGCTAATGGCCCTGTTCACCTAGCAGTAAGCAAGCACCCAGGAATTAGTCGGCTTCTTGTGGGATTGCACCCTCTGGGGGGAGGGGGGGGGACTTTTTTTTTTCTCAGGGATATTCCTGTGTGGGCCCTAAGCCTCTGACTGGTGCATTAAGTGTTACACTATTGCAATAAATGTAACAAAATCTAAGTCTATTATACCTTTTTCTTTCTGCTTGATTACCTATTTAACTCCCCGCTCCCCCTTCAACCATTGACACATTAAGTCACAACAAGAGATGGAAATGTGTTATTAAAGAGTACAGTAAATAGACAATGATAGAATGTGTGCAATAAAATGAAGCATTGGAGAAATGTGGAAGTGTCCTGAAACCTTACAACATGGCTAGGGCTCAAAATTACCTTCTTGAGGTTATCTTGAGATGATTTCGGGGCTTTTTAGTGTCCCCGCGGCCCGGTCCTCGACCAGGCCTCCACCCCCAGGAAGCAGCCCGTGACAGCTGACTAACACCCAGGTACCTATTTTACTGCTAGGTAACAGGGGCATAGAGTGAAAGAAACTTTGCCCATTGTTTCTCGCCGGAGCCTGGGATTGAACCCAGGACCACAGGATCACAAGTCCAGCGTGCTGTCCGCTCGGCCGACCGGCTCCCTACCTACATCAATTTACTTTATATTTTTCCCATGTCTAATAACTCCTGCACTATCTAATAAGTATATTCTTCAAAACTTTATATACAATTACAACATATAAAGTACCGTCAACACTAACCAAGACAATATCAGATACGACAGCCCAATTAAGATTGAGGAAGATTTGACCGAAGAATACTACAATGTAAGAGGCGATGGTGTGAAATTCTGCCAGAATCATTGCGCCGAGGATTAACGGCACGGAAAACAGCAATCCTACGCCACACACCAGAGGATCTGCATAAGGTAATCTGCAAATGAAATATCAAAATTATCACCATAAAATGAATCAATGTCTTAAAATATTTGGGAGAAAAAAAAAACCGTCCAAAAATTCTAAATGATCACAACATGGTGTAGCGTTTTGTAGTAGTCTAGTGCTGGGGCGTCCCTGATCATATAATGCACTTTTAGCTAATATATTCATGAATATAAAGCAAGTACAGTAAAATGCATAATGAAACAAAGCTCAGCAATCTAAGATAATGACCCACAAGCATTGATACTTTTACTATTTGTCTTAACCAAACCAATTCCTAGAGCCTAAAGGCTATTGAAATTAAATCCCAACCTTAACCAAACAATTCCCAGAGGCCAAAACTATTGTAAATTTAATCGCCAGCATAACATCAATCCAAATAGTTTTTCTTCCCTTAAAAGAGGACTACTTTAATGCAGTGCACGACAAATGTACAGCAACAGTTAATACAACATTGAGATACTGTACCTGACTCTTAGTTTCTGTCCAGCAAAGGAGCCAAGCGGCACACCAATCAGACCAGCTGACATGGCAATAGCTCCAAAAGCAAACGCAACACTGTGGAAGAAAAATTTAAATAAGAGTAATACGTAATTTTATTTACCTGAATTTACCCGAGGGCCACCATATCTAGTGGCTGCGATGGAAACATGAAGCCAATGGCTTGTCAAAGGCCATCATCATTCCTTTATAAGCCAAGTACAATATTTTTAATACATTGGTACCTCTACTTACAAATTTAATCCGTTCCCAGAGACGGGTCGTAACTCGAAAATTCGTAACTAAACGAATTTTCCCATAAGAAATAATGTAAATTGAATTAATCCGTTCCACACTACCAAAAATATTAACTTCAAAATACATTCATTCATAATACACACATTTTGTACTATAGTTTGTACAAGTTATAGCTTACCTTTAGTGATGACTTGTTGGTGTATGGAAGACAGTGAGGAGGGGGAAGGTGAGGAGGAGAGGTGTTACTGTTTGAAAGGGGAGTCCCCTTCCATTATAGCATCAGGCAGTGATGACTTCTCTGGGGTTCTCTCTCTCTCTCTCCTACGTTTTGCAATCATACCACTAGGACCTGGTTGTGGCTCACTGCTTGCTTGCTTGCTAAGAATCTTTCTAAAGACACTTGTTTTTCCCTACATTTTAACACTTGTCTGTGGTGAGACATCACATTGTTGTTTAAAAGGTCAATGCAACGGTCTCCTACAGCTTTGTCTGGGTGAGATTTTTCAACAAAACTTTGCAGTTCTTCCCATACTTCACACACTTCCTTAACGAGGAAGAGACATCCTCTACTGCCTCTACTCAACTATTTTCTTAGCTTGAACCTTACAACTGACTTTCCTGGGACTCATGACATGATATATAATAAATTATGTTCAAAAACCAAAAGTGCATAGTGAACAGAGCGCACGTTCATTTCTCTTCCTGCTGAATCATAACGGGAAAAATGCAAAGTTTTCTTGAAAAAATATCACTTGACAAAGCTGTGCTAATGGTAGGGGGACTTCCCTGCCAAAGAATAACATCTCTCTTCCTCACTACCTTCCACATCAACTCTAAGTTCAAATAAAATATGTACTGTATTTGCATTTACTTCATTTAATTATTGGTTCAATATATTTATTTTTGTGGTCTGGAATGGATTAATCCAATCTATTTCCCTTAAGGAAAAAAGCAATGTTCAGTAATCAAACAAATCGGCACTCAACCCGCCTTCAGAAACAATTAAATCCGAGTACCAAGGTTCCACCATGAAAAATGTATTCATAAATAACGAGTGTTGTTCTATACAGTACTTACAGAATTATTAGTTCTGTACTCTTAACTATATTAACAATATATTCGTGATGTGATTAACAAGACGTTAATTCTCAATAAACATGTCAAACCAAAAATTCCATGCTAATAGCAAAACTATTTTAGCTTGCCGTGATGAGGTACAGTATTTACAACCTGATCCACGAACTATTGGGAATGACACAGAAATCACATTAACGTGTTACATCAAATGAACAAATCCACAAGGGCCGTGATGAAGGTTCGATTAAAGCAGCGTCTGGGATCCTCAGACGTAGGTTCGAACCTTCATTACGGCCCTTATGGATTTGATCTTTTATTGAGAATGCTTCAGTAGTCGAGTAATTATTGGCCTAACTTGAGAACAGGATCAACTTACTCGTCAGGATTAACACTTGGATGGTCCTGAATCTTGACACCCAGTTGAGTGAAGAGAGGTCCCCACCAGGCCAGTGCTCCAGCCACAAAGGTAACACAGGTGAAGGCAAGCGTCGAGAGGATGAAGCTTTTGCTGTGGATTGGAAACAAGTATCGAGGACTATAAAATCAAGATGTGGTTTGAGGGAGGTATCACCCCAATACCCTATTTTAGCATCTCTTAAGATATAATAAAAACTATAATACAGTAATTCACTGTGTTGCGGGACAGGAAGCCAGAGTGTATTCATACATGTTAGGCTTATATCGAGCCCCCTCCCCCTCCAAGGCCGAATTACTAACTCTGCCCAGGATGCAACCCCACAACAAGTTGACTAACTCCTAAGTACCTACACACTGCTAGGTGAACAGAGACATTAGGTGAAAAGAAATGTGCCCAACCATTTCTGTCCCGCCCGGGATTCGAACCCGGAATTCTCGATTGTGCGTCGAGAAAGAACCCCACTGTACTACCGGGACCCACATAAACAACATTTCCAAATGTGCAGAGCATAAGGCGCAATAATGTGATTGAAACAAATAACCCGACCCACACTTTTGACACGAAACGAAGTTGACAATGTTTCAGTCCATCATGAACCCTTGTTATGACTGGATAAGTGTTCAGGACTGGCAAACTTCATTACTTCCATTTCTTGTGTGGGTTGAGGAAATTATCAGGGGAAAGTGCCCAGCCATTACAACTATATAGCACTGGGAAGGGGTCAGGATAAGGATTTGGGATCAGGGGAATGGGGAAGGAGAGGGCAGGAATGGTGCCCAACCACTTGGACGGTCGGGGATTGAACGCAGGCCTGCATGAAGCGAGACTGTCACTCAACCATCCAGCAACAATAGACCTACAGTCCCAACCTACTGCCAGTTAACTCAACCTACTGTGTCAGTTCAATTATTTGCGAAATGTTTTCAGAAACACAAATAGCGTCACTCCACCACTCGTTGACTCCACTCTATATAGTGTGTATTACAGTATGTGCTAACACCAACCACTCAATATGAACTATAATAGTTACCATACTGTTCCGTCACGTGCAGGGATACGTTCCCTCACATATTTTATTCATGTATATTTTGGTTTAAGATCTAACAGGAGAAGCAGAATGCATTCCAGAACAAGGAATTTGGCACATTCTTCACTATGGCACTGTATACAACATCTGATTTGAGAGAATTTATGATGTAAGAATTAAACACTGCAAGGTACTGTAAATAAAAAAATGTACAATATGCAAGGTTTATTTTATCAAATAATAATGTTATTATTACAGTATAGAGCAGGGGCGGACAAACTTGCTTACTCTAAGAGCCACCAATGGTAATGCTCAGGTGTTTGAGTGCCGCACGACATGAACAAAATTTGCACATTGTTACATATACATTGTTACAAAAATTTTATATAAATTTAAAAAAAAAAGCGTTGAATGTAATGAAATGCCATTTTCTGGACGAGTCCCAGAGGCTCCCCAGAGCCATACTGGGTTGATATGTATGTATTAGACCGTGGCATCAGTCAATTCAAATGGAGTTCTTGCCTACCGGGGACCACGAGCCAGAACCTAGCCCCCTCAGAGGCACCAGGAGCAATGGCCTATAGAAACCCCCCCCATGTGGTTAGAAGCATTCTATGTCTGCCATCTACTAGGTTAGGCACCCAGAAAGGTAGGTGTCCCAAAATAGACCCCAACTGGTGAAACATTGCTACCAGAAACCTAACTGCTAAGCAGAACTCCCCAATCTAAAAACAAGCAGACAAGCATGACGTCAAACCCACAGCCGCGCTGCCTGTCTACACAGCTCCCCCCTCCCTGGGAGGGAAAAGGGGAAGCCACAGACCTCGTGCTGGTTATCTACCCTCAGTTCAGATGCTAAATATAAAAAATGCGAAAACCGCATCCTCGTGAGGGCCTCGTAGCCTGGTGGATAGCGCGCAGGATTTGTAATTCTGTGGCGCGGGTTCGATTCCCGCACGAGGCAGAAACAAATGGGCAAAGTTTCTTTCACCCTGAATGCCCCTGTTACCTAGCAGTAAATAGGTACCTGGGAGTTAGTCAGCTGTCACGGGCTGCTTCCTGGGGGTGGAGGCCTGGTCGAGGACCGGGCCGCGGGGACACTAAAAAAGCCCCGAAATCATCTCAAGATAACCTCAAGATAACCGCCGACTGAAGGGAAGGAGGGTTGCTGGGGAGCCTCTGGGACTCACCCAAAAAATGGTGTTTTATTACAAACAAAGCTGGTTTGCTGGTACAAGATGACGGTCCTCAAACAGCCACGAGAGAAAGGACAAAACCCGATCCAAAACTGAAGACAACCTATGAAGGGACAAAAAGTGATGAAAGGACTGCCAGGAAACTTCATACTGCCGCCGAGATGAAACACACAGGTAGGGACACCATCAACGAAGCCACCCGATGACCAAACAAATGGTGATAAACTCGCATCAGAAAGACTCGACACGAAGACTGGAGATGATCTAACCAGCCATGTACCGGACTGGCCCGATCTGCTGATCAAAACTCCCCACCAGGCAAAAAGAAAAGAAAAATCCCGCAAAAGTACAATGTCTCCAGGAGGAACAGAACCGGCCGCTAAGATGATAAAAGACAAGCTGCACAGTACCTTATGCCCTACCAGCGATGATACTATCTCCTACCCAGGGCCAAACAGCGGCTAAGAAAACCTCCAGCTGACCCCAAGGGCGGGCAATCACCGAGCGTCAAAAGATCCCTACGGAGGTAGTTCCCAAACGACTTGTGGAAGGTAACTTCAAGCCACAAGGGCAGTACTTACAGGGCACCTAAGGAAGATGACCCTAGGCACATGCAGCCCCAGTACTTCTGAAATTACTCCTGGCTCACACACCACAACACAGCAGAACAACACTGCAAGGCACAGCACTGCTCAGAGACAGGAGCCGGAGTCGAACAACCTCCACTCAACACATCAGCCTCAGAACTGAGGGTGGATACATGGCATGGGGTCATGGGGTCTTCCCCCTTCTCCCTCCCGGGAAGGGGGGAACTGCACAGACAGGCGGCGTGCTGGTGGGTGTGACGTCATGCTTGTTTGCGGATTGGAGAGTTTTGCTTAGCAGTTAGGGTTTTCGGTAGCATTGTTTCACCAGCTGGAATCTGTTTTGGGACGCCTACCTTTCTGGGTGCCTTACCCAGCAGATGGCAGACACAGAATGCTTCCAACCACATGGGGGTTTCTATAGGCCATTGCTCCTCGTGTCTCGATGAGGGGGGGCCAGGTTCTGGGTCATGGTACCAAGTAGGCTAGAACTCCATTCGAATTGACTGATGCCACGGTCTAATACATACATATTAGTCTGGTTTATCTTCAGGGAGCAGGAGGGGCTCTCCACAGAAAACCAGCATTGAATGTAATGAAATGGCATTAATTTCCTGGGTGAGCCCCAGAGGCTTCCTGAAGCTGAATTGAAATGTCATGTTAGCATGTCATCTCTTTGAGAGATTAATTCCTTAATATCAAGTTTCCATCTAGGTACACAGCCAAGCTCAGGCCTATGGCCAGGCGCGACCAATTGTGGAGGTCACTGGTTTCCATAAAACTGAAGATTGACCCCTGATCACACTCGCAAAAACATTATATGGAACATTAGCGCAACTGGTCTATAATTCTTAGCCTATGCTTTGCTCTCTCCCTTGTGTAGGGATTCTATATCTGGTGATTTAAGCACTTCTCGTACCTTACCAGTGTCCAAGCTTTTTCTCTACATTACATGGAGTGCCTGTGCTACTGGCACTTTATTTCTTTATAAATATTGAGTTCCAGGAGTCTGGACCTGGGGCTGAGTGTATTGGCATGCTGTCGATTTCCGTTTCAAAATCTGCATAGTGTTAACCCTTAAACTGCGCAACACGTCATATGACGTGTTGAGTAACTTACTCAAAAGTGCCCATCACGTCATATGACGTGTTGGAGTACTACGCAAGATTTAAATGGCCCGCGGATACACGGGGTTTGCCTCATCTTCATCAGGGCTCTTGTAAACAGACGCCATCTTAAAAAAAAATCATGGGCCACATTCCCGGGTGTGAGGTCCTCGGTACTGAGTGAGCCACCAAGGCTGGTGCACGCATCATGAGCTCACAGCACTGCTGTTCAGCTTGTGACCACAGCATTGCCTAAAAATGCCATAATATATATATGTACATGCTGTTATTTAGTGATGATAGCATAACAGAAGACCTCTGACTGTGATAAAAATGACCAGGATTCTGATAATAGCAAGATTGTTGTGATAATTAGCGCTGTAGTGGGAGGAGTAATCTTGGTGGGGAGGGAGGTAGCGTTGTCTGCTGACTGTGTGTGACCACCTTTTACTGTGGACTTACTATACCAGCTTAGTTGTTCGCTATGGTGAACAAAACATGCAGATACTTATATATAACGTCTGTATATAGTGAATAAAACCAAAAACAGTATGGTGGGAGGCGAATGTTGGCAAGTCAGGTGATGTGAGGGAGTGACAGCCAGTGGCGGGCTGCCGCTGCCACTCAGAATACCAACTTAGTGGTTTGTTATGATGAACACAAATGTAGATACTTATATATAACATGTGTATATATAGTGTAATAACAGCAAAAGGAGTGTGGGGGAGAAGCCATTTCAGTGAGGGAGGTGGTGACATCTGCATGATTTATCATGCTGGGTAGGGGTGGCCACTATGCTCTCTGGGCACTATACCAGCTTAGATGAACAGTTATGGTGAACAGAACATGTAGATACTTATATATAACGTCCGTATATAGTGAATTAAAGCAAAAAAAAGTATGATGGGAGGAGGATGTGGTTGAGTGAGGAGTCATTGAGTGAGGGAGTGGCTGACTGGCACTGGCAGATGTGGTGGCCACTCCTCGCTGCTCTGCGACTCGTAATATCAACTTAGTGGTTCGTTATGGTGAACAAAACATGCAGATACGTAAATATAACCTGTGTATATAGTGTAATAACCGACAAAGTATTTGTTTACTGTTTTATGAATACAATAAGTGAATCAATAATATGCACACCATAATTTTGAGTACAGCGATGATTCACACATTTTATTATATAAATATATAACACTACACACTATTTATTATTACAGCAAAAAAATGAAGAAAAATCAATCAGACATTGAAATAATTATCTCTTTGTGGCCACTCCTGCCCGACAGCTTGGGCTGAGCAGAACGCCTCGGACGCACGCCGAGTCAGCGCCTCTTTTGCCAGACTTCCCAACCCTATAGTGGGAAAAATATCCTACTTACGATTTTTTTATTATTTTTTCCCGTGTTCAGGGAACACAAATTAACAGGTTTAGAAGAAATTTTTTTTTTTTTTTTTGTGTGACAATGGCCAAATAGCCCTTAGCAATACAAGGGTTAATATTGGTCATAGTTTCAAGGGTTTGGATATCAGGTGTAAAGAAGTTGTCTGGAGCTTCCACTTTCATGCTGTAGATTGAGGGTGCTAATCATGTCCTTATTGGACATGGCTAATCATTAATTAATAATTACCCTGTATTACTCTTCCTTCTGCCGGGTCATGAGGGAAGTTGGCCTCGGGTGAAAGGGGGCTGTGACGATTTGTTTGGAATCAGTAGGTGCGGGGCTTGGACGTCCAACTCCTGGGGCTCTTACTGCCCAAGCTTTGCTTCGGGAGGCTGGGGTCGTTCTTGCCCTTACTGGGGTGGTTCTTCTCCGGCCCCGACCATGACGGTCTCCGGGTTTGGTGTCCCTGTGCCTTTTACTAACTTCGAGGAAACTGCAAAGCTAGAGCCCCTAGGGCAGTTTGTTGTAACCTTCAACCTCGTTCTGACAGTTCCTGCAACAGCACTGGAACCAATCGTATTAACGTTTGCCTTACCATTGGAGACATTTGGCACCGTGGAGAGAGGGGACCAGCTGCACGGGAGACAGCTTCTTCCCATATCAACTTACCCAGGCTTTGCGCCCTGGAGAGGCCACTCCAGAGTAACAACCAGAGCGCAACTCTATAGTCACCCGAGACTGATGGATGCCGAATCACGTCCTCATACTGCTTTTTTTTTAGGATTTCACTAACTTCTTTAGTTATCTTCTGTGTATGAACCTTCACTTGTGAGTATAGGTCCAATACTGATGGAGGTTTATGATCTCGATTTTGCATATGTGAAGAAATATTTTGAATTTGTCTATTTCTTGTAAGGTTTTTTGCTTTAATTCCATTTCTTCAATCTATTATGATTGCTTCAGTCTCTCTTCTATTTCTTCAATCTCCTTTTTATATTATTCTTTCATTGTAGGGATAGTTGTGTCTGCTTGAGCATTCCCCATTATTTTCTCTTCAGTAATGCCATGCGAGTTCTCTAAGCTGGTTTTCTTTCTGGCGTTACACAAAGGGACATAATTCGGAAAGAATTTATATGCTTCGACAGTCTGTTGTTGTACTGTATTCCTTGCTTGGGATTTTTATTACTTATTCCCCATTGAATATTTGTTGGTTCCATGTTTATATTTTCCCAGTCTATCCTCTTATTATTAAAAACTGAATTTATTGAATAGCCCCACTTGCTTGATAATTTTTCAGACCTACCTTGTGGCTACTTGTTGAGGTTCCAGGGATCAACAGCCCTGTGGCCCAGTCTCCGACCAGGTCTTCTAGTTGGTCGTCTGGTCAGGCTATTGGATGCAGCTGCTCACAGCCTAACGTATGAATCACAACCTGGTTCATCAGGTATTCTTTGATATTCTTGACCTATTACAAGTATTAATGTTTGTATTTCAATGAGCTTGTGGTCTGAGTATGTGGTATCTGAGATTGTAATGTTCCTGATTATTTTTTCATTGTTTGTGAAGGTCAGATCTAGAATATTTTCAGTCCTAGTTGGCTCTTTATCTGCCGGTCACGCAAAAATTTGTCACAGAATTTAAGTGGTTCTCTTACCTGTAGTTGGTTATTTCCAGAAAGATTTCCTATTATATTATTATTATTGTTTGCTTGCTCCATCTTAGACTTGGCAAGTTGAAGTCTCCAAGGAAGATAATATCTGGTAATAAGTTTGGTTGATTATCGAGGCTATTCTCTATTTTGTTTATCTGTTCTGTGAATTCCTCGACCAATGCATCTGGTGGTTTGTATATTAGAATAATAACTGTTTATTTTCTTTATTTTTAATCCCAGTACAGTACCTCTACCACGTAATTTGTAGAGTTAAGTACTGTAGCTCCGAGCATACATGGCAAGTCTGGATGCCCCGAACAAAAAAACATCAGAAACTCATTTGAACAATTTTGCCCGAACATTTGCCCGAAACGCTATGCGTGCTAGTGGCTTTACAAGAATGTAAAATCAACTTAATTTCTATGTTCTCTGTTAACCCCCAACGTACCTTCTTGTATATAAAAAAAATATATAAATAAATAAATTTAAAGTGCAGAACAAGCTTAGTAAAACTATTCTACAATTGATATGCATTATTTTGAATAACCCATGCTAACTTTTTTAAACGTTTGTCTTAAATGTTGAGAATCCAGGAGAATACTGTATGCAATATATTTTACTAACTTGGTAAAGAGGTATTTGAGGTCACTGCCAAATGAAGTAGGTTGCAGATGCTGGCCTCCTTCACTCTCTCCCCGCGGAGGTTCCCGCAGCACAAACACGATGAGCAACAGTGCCACAAGACCCATCACCGGAGTCACACGCAGCCCCCAGCGCCACGCCTCGGAATCCCCTCCAGCGTTTTCAACCAGATTTTTTACTTCTGCGCCAATAATATAACCAAGGCCACTGAAAAAAAAAATTAGTTGTGATACAAAATTTAACCGAACTGTACCAAATGACCCAACCCACACACATGAAACAGAACGAGTGATAAAGTTCCAATACGTAATGAAACTTCTTCACATTCTTTTCATTGTGTGTGTGTGTGGGAGTTGGATTATTTGTTTCAACCATGTTATTTTGACATTCTCCGAATCGTATCATACAGTAAAAATATAACACATGGTGTAAATTCAAAACTGTTTTTACACTTTTTAAATATTTTAAAATGCAATGTTACACATTATTATGAAGGCACTCTAGTAGACAGTACTGCTGCACTACTAATATTTTTCATTAGAAGTGGACAGAGTATTCTTAATAAAATTAGACAAACAATTACAATTCTGCTGAAGAACACACCTGCCAACAGGGATAGCAAAGTAGAAGACGGCCAGCATCTTGGAGCGCAAATCACTCACAAACATATCGGAGATAATGGTGGGAGCAATGGTCGAGTAACTTGCCTCCCCAACCCCTACTAAACACCGGAATAACAGGAACAATTCATAGTTCTGAAAAGAGGAGAAGAAGAAATTAATAACAGTATAATTCTTAAAACACTAAAAATGGTAAGGTACCTGTAATTACTAATACAGGTGCTCATTTTGTAATAAAAAACTGATGTCATAAATACAGTACTGTATGTTCAGTGTGGGGTTTGTCATGGGGTTGTTCATGTGTAAATCAAGATGTTAATGCTAGCAATATACGAGACAATGTGACCACATTGACTGGAATAAATTTATTAGGAGGCAACAGACTCGCCTAGCCTTTGCGAGTGATTTGATCTGGGTACGTATCCTGGCCAGGGAGGATTGACTGGTGACCAATCCTTAGCTGTTTGCCTCTGTTCACCTAGTGGTAACAGGGTACCTATTCACCTAGCGGTAATTGGGTATCTGGTAATCTGGTTGTTTTGCCAATTGGCAAGTAAAATTATTGGGTAAGGGTTAACATGTGAATGCTCTCAGCCTGCTAATGAGAGTCAGTCGTGTGTTTCTGTAGCCACCTGTACAATCTTATTTACCTCAACACTAATACGAGTCACTGACAACTGCGTTATTACGTGTTGCTTCAGTCTTTTGTTCTATTTCTTCAATCTCCTTTTTTAAATTATTCTTTCTTTGTGGGGGATAATCATGTTTGCTTAAGCATATTATTTTTCCATTTAAATTTTTTCTGGTGATTATAGTACAAAAATTTTGTCTTGTCTTCCTTCCCGATGCAGCCTGACGCAGCATACATCAGGCTGCAAGCAGCCGCGTCCAACAGCCTGGTTGATCAGTCCAGCAACCAGGAGGCCTGGTCGACGACCGGGCCACGGGAACGCTAAGCCCCGGAAGCACCTCAAGACTCGAGACTCGTTGCTTCTTATTAAGTAACATTTAACATTAGTTTCTTTACAATGTGCGTATAGTCTGCATGAAGGTCTCGACTTTCTGATGATGGTAACCGTGGTCCTGTGTAAAGTGTCTCCTAGAAACACTACTTCTGCTGGCTTGGTTAGACTCAAGTATTATTATTCACAAGGTGTTTAGACCTCACATACAAGTGATAGATCATGTGATTATGTCATGCTTGCTTAATGCTTTCATTTTCTTTGACTGGTGATATGAGACAACTTAAATATCATTAGATTTGAAGTAGACAAGGAAACTGGATGGGGAATGAGTTTGTGTCCGCATTTTGTACGCAAGTGTTAGAGAGAAAAATCTCATTATAGTTGAGTATTCCTTATAGTTGAAGGATTTGCTGGAAGGTTTTGTAAGATAACAGGTAGGGAGTGAAGTTAAAGCCTAAATTATTTGAGAGTTGTGCCCACATGTGTTGAAGGCACAAGGGTGGGTGGCGGCCTCTCAGGCAACTTCTACCCTCTGTGCACGCACCTTATAATACCAGCTAACACAGTCTTCAACTCTTGCCAGGGCTGTGGATGGGAAGCTGCCTCTCTTATGAGCAGGAATTTTAGGTCCTAATAATGTGAAATTATCCTAACTATGGACCTTCCTCCAATTTATCTTCTAGAATAGTTGTTCGGTCTGTTCAATCTGATTTGTTTTGTGCTTCCTCCCTTGATTGGGCAATGGAATGATTTCAACTTGAGGCCTTCCTTGTTAATGGGGTTTTGGCACTGAATCCTTTGGTTTTATGTTAAGATCCATTGGCAGATTTGACAGAAAATGAAGGCGTAAAAATATTGTGTTGATACCTGCTTGATAGGGTTCTGAGAGTTCTTGTACGGGGTGTACTCCCCAAGCCCAGCCTGAGGCCAGGCTTGATTTGTGAGAGTTTGGTCCAGCAAGCTGTTGAAGAGCCTCAAAGTCCACCCAAGAGGTACCAGACATGACAGTTGAGATACAAACACTAAAAGGTAACTAAATGCTCACACAACTGCAGCAAAACATAACCTTCTAAGGCTACTACTTCAAAGAGCTTAGAATTTGCTCTTGGAACAGAAATGAAATTATCACAATATGGTAAATATGTACACAAAAAAACTCAAAAGGTCTACCTACCTTACCTTATATCTACCTTGTGATTACTGTCCCCCGTGACCCAGTCACTGACGTATGAATGACAGTTCAATTGATAAAGTATCCTTTGGGAGGCTTTGGGAGGCTCTCTCTTGAATACCGCAATAATTTTACAACGAATTTAGAACAATAATTTAATACCTATAATTTAGATATTTTATTGGAGGAAATTGACCAATCAACCAATGAATCTTTGCACATTCTCCTAGTCACCACCTTCTCCAGCTTTGAATGGTGGTGCTAGTGTGCAACAATATTCCACCCTAAAGAACACTATAGTTATGGTATTTGTTAAAACACTAGTCTGGCATATCTTGTTTTAAATATTTATATTACTTATATATTAAGAGATACTGAAGAAAGAACAAATCCACAAGGGCCGTGACGAGGATTCGAACCTGCGTCCGGGAGCATCCCAGACACTGCCTTAATCGACTGAGCTACGACAGGGTAAAAGGGTTGAAACCGAAGTTCTACTTAAGTTACTGGATCACGTAGGCTCTCCGAGGCACAAACCAGGGTTTTACACAACTCCCCCCTGCACCCGAGCTATGTCAATAGGCCGTTCTCCCTCTTCGCCCTTACATCATTACACACAGATCACACTAACATGATGCATCACATGAACAAATCCACAAGGGCTGTAACGAGGATTTGAACCTGCTTCCGGGAGCATCCCAGACACTGCCTTAATCGACTGAGCTACGACAGGATACTGAAGTTTAACATACATCCAGTAAAGAGAAGGGGACGACAAATGTTTTGCTACAACACTAGATATAGGAAGTTTGCAGCGCTTCAGTCTTCTACCACAAACTTTAGACATTTTCTTGGAATAAAGACAAGTCTTTCAAGAAGGAGTTAGCCAAGTTTCTCCAGGAAGTCACATACCAGCAAGGTTATCAATTATAGAGGCCTGTGGGGCAATATTATTTGGCCAGAGAAAAAAGAAAATTAAGTTCTAGGTTTGTCTATCAGACAAAAAGCCACGATGACCCATATGAACAGAGTAAAATTAAAACTAGAGAGAATGAATATGCACTGAACATAATATTAAGCAGTACACATTGCACTCATTCCTAACACTTTGTGATTGATCAAGAACCAGGCAAGCCTGGCCTGGTTCTTGGGTTGAGAGCAAAAAACCCCACGATTAACCCTTATATAGCTCCAATCACCATATGTGACTACTTCCCATGCACCAATCAACATATGGGACTACCTCCCATGCCCTAATCAACATATGGGACTACCTCCCATGCCCCAATCACCATATAAGACTACCTCCCGTGCACCAATCACCATATGGGACTACCTCCCATGCCCCAATCACCATATGGGACTACCTCCCGTGCCCCAATCACCATATGGGACTACCTCCCATGCCCCAATCACCATATAAGACTACCTCCCGTGCACCAATCACCATATGGGACTACCTCCCGTGCCCCAATCACCATATGGGACTACCTCCCATGCCCCAATCACCATATGGGACTACCTCCCATGCCCCAATCACCATATAAGACTACCTCCCGTGCTCCAATCACCATATGGGACTACCTCCTGTGCCCCAATCACCGTATGGGACTACCTCCCGTGCCCCAATCACCATATAAGACTACCTCCCATGCTCCAATCACCACATGGGACTACCTCCCATGCCCCAATCACTATATGGGACTACCTCCCATGCATCAATCACCATATGGGACTACCTCCCGTGCCCCAATCACCATATGGGACTACCTCCCATGCCCCAATCACCATATGGGACTACCTCCCGTGCTCCAATCACCATATGGGACTACCTCTCATGCCCCAATCACCATATAAGACCACCTCCCGTGCTCTAATCACCATATGATATATCACTCCCTCCCCCCCCCACCTGTGTGACTATCCAGCCTGACAGGTGAAGACATCTTAGCTCTCCACAAGACACACAGATGGACATGATCAAGATGATAACGTCTCCTGGCAGTCATCTTGAGGTTATCTTGAGGTTATCTTGAGGTTATCTTGAGATGTTTTCGGGGCTTTTAGTGTTCCCGCGGCCCGGTCCTCGACCAGGCCTCCACCCCCAGGAAGCAGTCCGTGACAGCTGACTAACTCACAGGTACCTATTTACTGCTAGGTAACAGGGGCATTCAGGGTGAAAGAAACTTTTGCCCATTTGTTTCTGCCTCGTGCGGGAATCGAACCCGCGCCACAGAATTACGAGTCCTGCGCGCTATCCACCAGGCTACGAGGCCCCTTCACACCAATGTCAAATAGACACACCAACACCCTAGTCTTGTCTGGTGTCTTGGGGCTATATTAGGCTACACCCTAATACTCAATGTAACCTTTATTTTAACCCAGGTTAAATTTTAATGTTCATTTCATGTGTCACTTTCTGCCTCTCGTCATGTAACTAATGTTTTATTAACACTATAAGAATTATACCTATTTTGGAAAATAAAAAAATGACTCAATATTATACTTCATGTTTAAATATATTTTGTATGCTGAATATATTTTGGTTATATTCTAGTGGGCAAAGAAAGAATAATTCATTTTCTCGGGGGTTAGGATCTGCCAAATTGTTTAACAACCAGGTACCCATTTTACTGCTGGGTGAACAGAGGCTACAGTTAAGGATTGGCGCCCAGTCAATCCTCCCCGGCCAGGATACAAACCCAGGCACTTGCAAAGCGTCGAGCGAGTGTTTTACCACTACGCCACGGGGACTGCTGTGTTGTTCTTGTGGGGGGTTGAGCTCTGGCTCTTTGGTCCCGCCTCTCAACTGTCAATCAACTGGTTTGGCTAAGTAGAAAGTGAATTATTCTCACACATTTGAAATACGAAATTCAAAAAGCGACTATTTTTTGTCATTAAGAGATTAAAGAAAACGTACAATTCAGGTATTTTTCAACAGAAAATTTGTTTAATATATACTATATATAATTTAAACCCGGAATTTATAATACAATACAGATATAACTTGAGAAAATTGTGTGTTCAGGACAAAGGTTCACTTGCCAGTTTACAAGCAGACTATTATTGGAACCGTAATATGCTTTCAGACCATCACAAATATGTAACTACCTAGATGGTCTGAGAGGGCGGTTGGTGTCTTGACCTAATCACTCGATCAGCCATTGGCTCAGAAATAGCCCGTTACGGGCCTAATAGCCCGTTACGGGCCTAATAGCCCGTTACGGGCCTAATAGCCCGTTACGGGCCTAATAGCCCGTTACGGGCCTAATAGCCCGTTACGGGCCTAATAGCCCGTTACGGGCCTAATAGCCCGTTACGGGCCTAATAGCCCGTTACGGGCCTAATAGCCCGTTACGGGCCTAATAGCCCGTTACGGGCCTAATAGCCCGTTACGGGCCTAATAGCCCGTTACGGGCCTAATAGCCCGTTACGGGCCTAATAGCCCGTTACGGGCCTAATAGCCCGTTACGGGCCTAATAGCCCGTTACGGGCCTAATAGCCCGTTACGGGCCTAATAGCCCGTTACGGGCCTAATAGCCCGTTACGGGCCTAATAGCCCGTTACGGGCCTAATAGCCCGTTACGGGCCTAATAGCCCGTTACGGGCCTAATAGCCCGTTACGGGCCTAATAGCCCGTTACGGGCCTAATAGCCCGTTACGGGCCTAATAGCCCGTTACGGGCCTAATAGCCCGTTACGGGCCTAATAGCCCGTTACGGGCCTAATAGCCCGTTACGGGTCTAATAGCCCGTTACGGGTCTAATAGCCCGTTACGGGTCTAATAGCCCGTTATGACTAATAGCCCGTTATGACTAATAGCCCGTTACGGGTCTAATAGCCCGCTACGGGTCTAATAGCCAGTTACGGGTCTAATAGCCCGTTATGTGTCTAATAGCCAGTTACGGGTCTAATAGCCAGTTACGGGTCTACTAGCCCGTTACGGGTCTACTAGCCCGTTACGGGTCTACTAGCCCGTTACGGGTCTACTAGCCCGTTACGGGTCTACTAGCCCGTTACGGGTCTACTAGCCCGTTACGGGTCTACTAGCCCGTTACGGGTCTAGCCCGTTACTAGCCCGTTACGGGTCTACTAGCCCGTTACGGGTCTAATAGCCCGTTACGGGTCTAATAGCCCGTTACGGGTCTACTAGCCCGTTACGGGTCTACTAGCCCGTTACGGGTCTACTAGCCCGTTACGGGTCTACTAGCCCGTTACGGGTCTAATAGCCCGTTACGGGTCTACTAGCCCGTTACGGGTCTACTAGCCCGTTACGGGTCTAATAGCCCGTTACGGGTCTACTAGCCCGTTACGGGTCTAATAGCCCGTTACGGGTCTAATAGCCCGTTACGGGTCTAATAGCCCGTTACGGGTCTAATAGCCCGTTACGGGTCTAATAGCCCGTTACGGGTCTAATAGCCCGTTACGGGTCTAATAGCCCGTTACGGGTCTAATAGCCCGTTACGGGTCTAATAGCCCGTTACGGGTCTAATAGCCCGTTACGGGTCTAATAGCCCGTTACGGGTCTAATAGCCCGTTACGGGTCTAATAGCCCGTTACGGGTCTAATAGCCCGTTACGGGTCTAATAGCCCGTTACGGGACTAATAGCCCGTTACGGGTCTAATAGCCCGTTACGGGTCTAATAGCCCGTTACGGGTCTAATAGCCCGTTACGGGTCTAATAGCCCGTTACGGGTCTAATAGCCTAATAGCCCGTTACGGGTCTAATAGCCCGTTACGGGTCTAATAGCCCGTTACGGGTCTAATAGCCCGTTACGGGTCTAATAGCCCGTTACGGGTCTAATAGCCCGTTACGGGTCTAATAGCCCGTTACGGGTCTAATAGCCCGTTACGGGTCTAATAGCCCGTTACGGGTCTAATAGCCCGTTACGGGTCTAATAGCCCGTTACGGGTCTAATAGCCCGTTACGGGTCTAATAGCCCGTTACGGGTCTAATAGCCCGTTACGGGTCTAATAGCCCGTTACGGGTCTAATAGCCCGTTACGGGTCTAATAGCCCGTTACGGGTCTAATAGCCCGTTACGGGTCTAATAGCCCGTTACGGGTCTAATAGCCCGTTACGGGTCTAATAGCCCGTTACGGGTCTAATAGCCCGTTACGGGTCTAATAGCCCGTTACGGGTCTAATAGCCCGTTACGGGTCTAATAGCCCGTTACGGGTCTAATAGCCCGTTACGGGTCTAATAGCCCGTTACGGGTCTAATAGCCCGTTACGGGTCTAATAGCCCGTTACGGGTCTAATAGCCCGTTACGGGTCTAATAGCCCGTTACGGGTCTAATAGCCCGTTACGGGTCTAATAGCCCGTTACGGGTCTAATAGCCCGTTACGGGTCTAATAGCCCGTTACGGGTCTAATAGCCCGTTACGGGTCTAATAGCCCGTTACGGGTCTAATAGCCAGTTACGGGTCTAATAGCCCAATTAAAGCTAATCGTTTTAATCAGAACGGGCTCAGAAATAAACTGTTAAAGGCATCCAACACTAACAATGCACTAATGTAAAAGTGAACACTCTGAACAATGTTATGCCTGCTGGGGCTAGAGTCAAGAAGCAGTTACGCAAGCACTTACGAACTCAATCTTTGGCGGCTTTGTTTACAATTATTAAACAGTTAATGAGCTCCAAAGCACCAGGAGGCTGTTTATAACAACAACAACAGTTGATTGGCAAGTTTTCATGCTTGTAAACTGTTTAATAAATGTAACCAAAGCCGTCAAAGATTGAGGAAAGATGTACTGGGGCCAGATTCACGAAGCAGTTACGCAAGTACTTACGAACCTGTACATCTTTCTTCAATCTTTGGCGGCTTTGTTTACAATTATTAAACAGTTAATGAGCTCGGAAGCACCAGGAGGCTGTTTATAACAATAACAACAGTTGATTGGCAAGTTTTCATGTTTGTAAACTGTTTAATGTAACCAAAGCCGTCAAAGATTGAGGAAAGATGTACACGTTCGTAAGTACTTGCGTAACTGCTTCGTGAATCTGGCCCCAGGTTCATTAGTGCTCACGTAACTACTACGTTAATCTGGTTGCTGGACTGGTCAACCAGGCTGTTGGACACAGCTGCTAAACAGATACATGCTAAACAAATCCACCATTTAGTATTAGGCCTACCTTCATTAACGAGCCGAGAACGGTGGCTATACTCCAGAAGAAGAGGCCTACGGCCATGAGGTATTTCCTGGAGAACCTGTCACCGAGGAAGCCGAAGAGAGGCGCCATCACCATATACACCAAGACAAATGCCGTCTGCAGCAGCCCGGACTGAGAGTCGCTGATCCCGAAGGTCTTCTGGATGTCGAACAGAATTCCTGCAATTAAAACACGAAAGTTACACACACAGAGATCACACTAATGTGATGCATCAAATGAACTAATCCACATCAAATGCTCCCGGACGCAGGTTCGAATCCTTGCCATGGCCCTTGTGGATTTGTTCCCGAAGGTCTTCTGGATGTCGAACAGAATTCCTGCAATTACAACACGAAAGTTACACACACAGAGATCACACTAACGTGATGCATCAAATGAACTAATCCACATCAAATGCTCCCGGACGCAGGTTCGAATCCTTGCCATGGCCCTTGTGGATTTGTTAACAACAAAAAAAAGACTATTCAAACTTGTGCTTAATAATGGGGTTAATAAACAAAACAAGGGATCGAAATTTAAGTCCTACAGCAACCCGTCCTCATATGAAGTCCATTCCATCCAGCGGTCGACCCCACAAACGCATTCATCAATTTTTTACTTGCTGTTCATTCAAAACGGGATATTTCTCAAATATAAATTAATATTATAATATATTAGCATATTAGGCATAGGTTAGGTTAGGTGTTTAGGTTCTGTTGAGTATGTGTAGTAGGTGAGTGAAGCATTTACAGCGTTGTGGTTCGAACACCAGTCGTCAGTGAAGCACTTGTTCCCCAAGTGTTCGGACGTCAGCAGTTGTGAGTCCTGTGTAAACAGTTTATCATTCATAAACACCAGCGGGGTTGGCGGGTGGATGGAATCAATTTTGGATTTTTCTTTGGAGGACGGGCTGGAAAAACTGTTACACAGGACTAACAACTGGTGACGTCCGAACACTTGGGGAACAAGTGCTTCACTGACGACTGGTGTTCGAACCACAACGCTGTAAATGCTTCACTGACGACTGGTGTTCGAACACACAACGCTGTAAATGCTTCACTCACCTACTACACATAATACTCCCCAACACAACCTAAACACATAACCTAATCTATATATGCACAATATGCTATTATAATATTAATTTAAATATGAGAAAATTCTTGTTTTGAAGGAACAGCATTTTAAAATTGACGAAGGCGTCTGTGGGGTCGACCGCTGGATGGAATGGACTTGGTATGATGAGGTGTTGACATATGAATGAGTTTGGGTGGATATATACAAATAGGTTATGTCTCATATAGGCCAATATAGCCTTCTGCAGTTCCCTTAATGATTATATATGTTCTTATAGTAAAAGTGATCACTGGAAAATAGTATCTCCTTGAGATGATTTCGGGGCTTTAGTGTCCCCGCGGCCCAGTCATCGACCAGGCCTCCACCCCCAGGAAGCAGCCCGTGACAGCTGACTAACACCCAGGTACCTATTTTACTGCTCGGTAACAGGGGCATAGGGTGAAAAAAACTCTGCCCACTGTTTCTCGCTGGCGCCCGGGATCGAACCCAGGACCACAGGATCACGCGTCCAGTGTTCTGTCCGCTCAGCCACCGGCTAAAATTAGTCTTCTTGTAGTAATATTAATTCAAAAATATTTATAAGGAATGGAACTATCAGGGGAAAGCGCTACGCCATTATGACTATATAGCACTGGGAAGGAGTCAGGATAAGGATTTGGGATGGGACGGAGGGAAGGAATGGTGCCCAATCCCTTATGGACGGTCGGGGATTGAACGCGGACCTGCATGACGGCAGACTGTGGCTCTACCGTCCACCCCAAGTGGCTGACCAGTTTACAAGGATATTGTAAATATTGGATATTGTGTCCACCATGAAGGAAGGAGTCTACGCCAGCAGACCCGCGCCAGGCCTCGGGTCGTCCCTTCACCCCCACACCCACCCACACTCACACCCGCCCCGCCCACCGCCGCCCACGCCCGTCTCTAGCCCGTAACACTAATCATCTGTCCACTCCACTTTACGCTCACAATCTTACCCTTTCCTGTCAATTCATCACAACCACAAGTACTTTCTGTCTGCCCTGCCCCTGCCCCGCCCCTGCCCTGCCCCGCCCCTGCCTGCTTGATACCTGGTTGATGGGGTTCTGGGAGTTGTTCTGCTGCCCAAGCCCGGCCCGAGGCCAGGCTTGACTTGTGAGAGTTTGGCCCACCAGGCTGTTGCTTGGAGCGGCCCGCAGGCCCACATATACCTGGTTGATGGGGTTCTGGGAGTTGTTCTGCTGCCCAAGCCCGGCCCGAGGCCAGGCTTGACTTGTGAGAGTTTGGCCCACCAGGCTGTTGCTTGGAGCGGCCCGCAGGCCCACATATACCTGGTTGATGGGGTTCTGGGAGTTGTTCTACTGCCCAAGCCCGGCCCGAGGCCAGGCTCGACTTGTGAGAGTTTGGTCCACCAGGCTGTTGCTTGGAGCGGCCCGCAGGCCCACATATACCTGGTTGATGGGGTTCTGGGAGTTGTTCTACTGCCCAAGCCCGGCCCGAGGCCAGGCTCGACTTGTGAGAGTTTGGTCCACCAGGCTGTTGCTTGGAGCGGCCCGCAGGCCCACATATACCTGGTTGATGGGGTTCTGGGAGTTGTTCTACTGCCCAAGCCCGGCCCGAGGCCAGGCTTGACTTGTGAGAGTTTGGTCCACCAGGCTGTTGCTTGGAGCGGCCCGCAGGCCCACATATACCTGGTTGATGGGGTTCTGGGAGTTGTTCTACTGCCCAAGCCCGGCCCGAGGCCAGGCTTGACTTGTGAGAGTTTGGTCCACCAGGCTGTTGCTTGGAGCGGCCCGCAGGCCCACATATACCTGGTTGATGGGGTTCTGGGAGTTGTTCTACTGCCCAAGCCCGGCCCGAGGCCAGGCTTGACTTGTGAGAGTTTGGTCCACCAGGCTGTTGCTTGGAGCGGCCCACAGGCCCACATATACCTGGTTGATGGGGTTCTGGGAGTAGTTCTACTGCCCAAGCCCGGCCCGAGGCCAGGCTTGACTTGTGAGAGTTTGGTCCACCAGGCTATTGCTTGGAGCGGCCCGCAGGCCCACATATACCTGGTTGATGGGGTTCTGGGAGTTGTTCTACTGCCCAAGCCCGGCCCGAGGCCAGGCTTGACTTGTGAGAGTTTGGTCCACCAGGCTGTTGCTTGGAGCGGCCCGCAGGCCCACATATACCTGGTTGATGGGGTTCTGGGAGTTGTTCTACTGCCCAAGCCCGGCCCGAGGCCAGGCTTGACTTGTGAGAGTTTGGTCCACCAGGCTGTTGCTTGGAGCGGCCCGCAGGCCCACATATACCTGGTTGATGGGGTTCTGGGAGTTGTTCTACTGCCCAAGCCCGGCCCGAGGCCAGGCTTGACTTGTAAGAGTTTGGTCCACCAGGCTGTTACTTGGAGCGGCCCCCCGGCCCACATACCCACCACAGCCCGGTTGGTCCGGCACTCCTTGGAGGAAACTATCTAGTTTCATCTTGAAGATGTCCACGGTTGTTCCGGCAATATTTCTTATGCTCGCTGGGAGGACGTTGAACAACCGCGGACCTCTGATGTTTATACAGTGTTCTCTGATTGTGCCTATGGCACCTCTGCTCTTCACTGGACCTCTGATGTTTATACAGTGTTCTCTGATTGTGCCAATGGCACCTCTGCTCTTCACTGGACCTCTGATGTTTATACAGTGTTCTCTGATTGTGCCTATGGCACCTCTGCTCTTCACTGGTTCTATTCTGCATTTTCTTCCATATCGTTCACTCCAGTACGTTGTTATTTTACTGTGTAGATTAGGGACCTGACCCTCCAGTATTTTCCATGTGTATATTATTTGGTATCTCTCTCGTCTCCTTTCTAGAGAGTACATTTGGAGAGCTTTGAGACGATCCCAATAATTTAGGTGCTTTATCTCGTCTATACTCGCCTAGTTGTGCTTGCGGGGGTTGACCTCTGCCTCTTTGGTCCCGCCTCTCAACCGTCAATCAACAGGTACAGTACAGGTTCTATGTATATCTGTCGGTGTTTCAGATTTAGCTACTGAGAACGAAGTGTCCATGTAGCACGGGCTATGGTGAGCCCGTCTCACTATGTGTGCCGTATATATTGATATACTAAGGTGAGGAGGAGGAGGCAGACAAGATGTTACAGGAAGTTCACGTTGAGGGTAATTACCCATCTGCGACCCCAACTCACCCCACTCTTCCTGCCCAACTTTCACTCTCTCACCCTCCCCCCTTACTCACCCACTCTCTCCCTCACTCTCTCACCCTCCCCCCTTACTCACCCACTCTCTCCCTCACTCACTCACCCTCCCCCCTTACTCACCCACTCTCTCCCTCACTCACTCACCCTCCCCCCTTACTCACCCACTCTCTCCCTCACTCTCTCACCCTCCCCCCTTACTCACCCACTCTCTCCCTCACTCTCTCACCCTCCCCCCTTACTCACCCACTCTCTCCCTCCCTCCCTCCCTCACCCACTCTTATTCCCGTTGCCATTTCTTGCTTTACTCCTATTTTTCATACCTCTCACTGTATTTCCCACTTCTAAACTTCCCTTCACCTATGTCTCTCCTTCCTCTTTACTCTAAAAATAAATTATTCCACATTTCTAAGTTGCTTTCATCTGCACCTCTCTTCCTCCTCCCCCCCCCCCCCCACTGTGAGTTAATGAGTATGTACTCACCTAGTTGTGCTTGCGGGGGGTTGAGCTCTGGCTCTTTGGTCCCGCCTCTCAACCGTCAATCAACTGGTGTACAGGTTCCTGAGCCTATTGGGCTCTATCATATCTACACTTGAAACTGTGTATGGAGTCAGCCTCCACCACATCACTGCCTAATGCATTCCATTTGTTAACTACTCCCACACTGAAAAAGTTCTTTCTAACGTCCCTGTGGCTCATGTGGGTACTCAGTTTCCACCTGTGTCCCCTTGTTCGCGTACCACCAGTGTTGAATACTTTATCCTTATCTATCCTGTCAATTTCTGACAATTTTGTAGGTAGCGATCATGTCTTCCCTTACTCTAGTGTCGGGGAAGAGGGGGGGGGGGGCTCTGAGTTCGAACAGCAACGCAAATCGCTGTACCAGCCTTCCTGTCCTCCTCGGTATCCGACGACCTTGTGAAGGAAATTCTACCTGCC